GGGGGGGGGGAGGGGTTAAAGGTCCCTTTTTTTTAGTTTTTCGTGAATAATTTGAAAGCGGTTGCTCCTAGTTAAAAATTTTGCTCTAGAGAATTAAACAGCATAAAATTATCTACAAAATGATATAGCACAGTATATAATAATAATAATACTTAATGAGATCCAGAGGGAAGAAAAATCAAAATTTTTAAAATTTTAACCGATACGCACACGGGGATCCCGAATACGATTATATTACGTAGGCGGGATGGTGGAGATCCACGGAGAGGTCAGTGCATGCTGGTGGACAGCAAGGACGTCATTAGTTCACTCTAATCAGGCTATGAGGCTCCTATTGTTCATCTATTCAAATGCAACGACGCGAACGAACTCATTCAGTTTCATTGTCTTTAGTGAGTCTTTAAGATAAGTTGAGCATCTTTAAGCTAGTGTGTTTAATTGACTTGTGTTTTACTTTACTTGATGCCACATGATTAACTATGGCTGATAAGTGTTTAATTTGCGAGGATGATGTTGACTGTAATATATGTCAAGTGGGGAAAAAAGGAATCAATGGATTAGTAAGATCTAGTATTCTGAGAAAAGATGAGCAAGTAGACAGTTTTAGGAAAAAAGAGAGCGGTCTGTGATTTTTTACAGATACAAAAACCCCTTACCGCCCACTCAATGGGGTTGTGCCAAAGGAGAAGACGGGGTATTATTCCCAGTAACCACAAATGATCCAGTGGCACCCGAGGCGATACTTAACACAATATTTTGCCGATGTACAACTGGGTACAGGTGTGGCTGCCGCAAAACAGGCATTGCTTGCTCCGTCGCTTGCGGCAATTGCCTTGGCATGTGCACGAATGGAGCCCCGAACGATGCCATCGATGACGACGACGACGATAACGATTTTGACTCCTGCCCACACAATCTCGCCAACGTAACATAATCGGAATCAGACTTGCCGTGTATTACGACCTTTGATTAGTATAGTCTATATTCAAAGATTACGACTATTTTAAAATTTTTGATTTTTCTTCCCTCTGTATTTCATTAAGTATTATTATTATTATATACTGTGCTATATCATTTTGTAGATAATTTTATGCTGTTTAATTCTCTAGAGCAAAATTTGGATTAGGAGCAATCGTTTTCAATTATTCACGAAAAACTAAAAAAAAAGGGACCTTTAACCCCTCCCCCACCCTTAGCTCACACCCCACGACACCTACTTTCCCTATTTACGATTCATTTGGTTCGACTTGTTACGTGGTTTTTTTGAACATTTCTCACAATAATAACCATCAATAATTGGATTCCGGGAAAGAGCGCTTGACGTTTTAGGATGCAATCGTACACGTAAAACGTCCACACCCTAATAAAATAAACCATATAGATTAGTCTATTCTTAGAAACACTTTCAGTTATAAACATCAAACAGCAATTAACGATAGCAATAAATTTCTATTTTATTTCATACAAGGCTATCTAGTAGGATTCTTCGATTTCAATGAAAGTCAGTGTATACTCATTTTATGCAATTTAGTGCAAATGCGGAGTATAAATTGAATATGTGTCAACTAGTTTTTTAAAATTAATCGGTCTATTTAACCTGTAAATATTGAATTAAATTGATGTCAATTGATTTCAAGGTCAAATTCTGAAATGTTTTCTCAGCCCATGATCAAGGTTTCAGTCAAGACTGCCCAACCAACGTAACCCACTATACATCTTTAGGGGAATTTTTCGAAATAAATTTTCCTTATGTCATGGTTTTGGTTGTTTGTCTTTTTGACTTTTCTTCGTAAAAGTTCTCGAAAATGAAAACAGACAGCGATGTCAAACCTTCGCCAATCGACTTCTACGAGTTGAAGGATCAGTGCTAATGAATAAGAGCCGGATTAAAAGTCTGGTTTCCAAATGCGAGCGGAGTGACAAAAAATTCCCCTACTGAAATTTGTATGTGATTTATCATATCCTGTTTGTATATTCCTTTGAAATAATATTGTTTAAGTTAGTTGTCACCTTTGTTTTCTCACTGCAGTAATGATTTATTATGTTTCCTCTGAAAACTTTTTTTTACAATTATTATAAGCCGCTTCCTCAGCCACGTCCATGTTTATTTACATAAGGATTACCGAAGGAAGATTGTCAGAATAGAAATGTATACACAAATTAGTTTGTTTGTTTCGTGAACTGAAGCAAAGCTGTATTAAAAGATACTGCAAACTACGAAATGGCAAACACGATTTACTGATTAGATCTTACATTCAATTGTAAATTTTGGTTGTCTCCACAGCGGTCTTTGAATGCTCATTTTTGCACAGTGGTCTTGTAGAAGAATCTTATTTTTAAACTGACATTGAATATCATACTGTAAAAATCGTAACACGACTTGGTATCTCGTTTCTACAAAATTGAAATTGACATTAACGTTTAGATTAAGGTCTTTATTAAACACCAAGTTTGTCCTCTTAATATAATATAAATATAGTTATTGACCCATGTAACCAGAAAGAGCAACATGTCCAAGTAAATATAAAAGGTATCTGACTATTTTTGTTGGCTTCCCTAAAGCAACATCTATCACCTCTATTGCTTTTATCGCTGTTTCACATTTCAACTGTACGTTGTCCTTACAGAGGATATTGTTTATTTACACATTCGTTTTCACTTTATTGTCCGTATGATTCCTAACATTGAGCTCTCGGGTGAGTCTGCTTATTTAGAAAGAAAGGTTTATTTATGCCCCATCATGAATTCGCATTATTCAGGGCACAACGTTGCACAAAACAATCAGGATTACAGAGTGAATAATTACCTAAATGAATATCACGGTGCTGTTTTTGTAGAATTTATTAAGAATTGCGCTGTGGAATGAATATTCCTTCGCTTTCATTTTCATTCAAACGTCGGTATGAATTTCAGTAACTAATATTTATCTTGTCAGAGTGGAAGACCAGAGTCAGTAAGATGCGAGCAACACCGTGTCAATATTGAACGAAAAGTCAACGTTTCGCGCACTTACGTAAGGGACTCCTTCACGACAAGAAAAGAAACAAAATAACAATAAAAATAAAATATATACTCGTAAAACCCTTGCCCATGAGCCAACGGCTGAAACACCGAGAGAAGGCTAATCCTGGTTGTTTAAACCTATGCCGTTGTAGAAGCGCACATACCTATCGAAATTAAAAACTATCAACCAAACAAGAACAACAAATAACAAACAACAAAGGCACATATGTATAAATTGACAATTAAGTTGATCTAAACGTCATTGTTTTGTCGTCCTTTTATGAGGATACTTGGTATAATTTTAAATGCTTTCATGGGATAAGAAACGATCAAAACGTGAAATGTGTAACAGTATATTAAGAAACAAGTGTATAATCAAGTCTTTAAAGCACGCGCAACGAGTTTAAGGGCACGACGCGTAGCGGAATTAGTTTTTGATCAAGATACAACTCATCTCTCATATGGAGGCTATAATAGTTATTTATGCATCAAGGGCATTAAGGCGATATTTATGCCGAGGGCGACAGAGAGAGATTGTAAGTCGCCCGAGGGTTAAATATTGAGTAATGCCTGAGGTGCATACAACATTTTATTTTTCATCATTCCAAAGAATGCATTTCCAATATAAAAATGTCATGATTATTGTTTGCCCAACATTAAAGTGCTCCATACGAATCAAGTTGCATCTTTTTTATGACATAATATAACTCCGTCAATCAATTTGACAGGCCGTTTGAGGGCATAATGAGATGACAATCCATTATGCCCTCTCATTATGCCCTTGGGCGTAATAGACTGCTTCATATATCACATATGACAGATATAATTGACATATAATAGGCAAATGAAAAATAAATAAATTTCTTATGGCCGTAAGCACCGACAAATTTAAGCGTCGCTTAAAATCCATGGCAACCTTTGTCTCAATAATCGTTGCCATGGATTTTAAGTTACACTTCAGCTAAGCTCCGCTTAAATTTGTCGTCATAAAAGAAAGCCGAAAAGATATTGGGCCATTCGCAGTGGGAATCAATTTATTTGTCAACCGTTGCCTTTTTGACGTTTCATTGTCAATATTATTTTCTAATAACCCTCTTATTAATTTGAGGTATGATAATAATTAATGAAGAAAGGTTTCATCCGCAACTTCTTGACAACAACCAACAAGTGCGGAGGTTCAACAGAGTGAAACTGATCGAACTAGTTTAAGTGAGAAGTGCCAAAATAAAAGCAAAGTAAACACGGGAATAAGTGAATTCATGAAATGCGCACTAGGACTGAATTCATAACACTGTTAAACCTAATTATTAGAGACAAACTGTTAGATAGACTTAGTAGAGTTACAATTATCGCCCAACAAGGGGCGAAATAAAAAAATCCACGTTTAGTGATTAGTTCCAGCTTTAATTGACCTTGACGGCTATCCTTCGACGCCCTCGTGAGCGCAAAGATAACATCTTGCCTAGTTAACCTACAGACGACGCTTGGAGCGAAGATAACAAAAACTGAGCAAGGGGTTATTTATTTTCATTGGTCAATTAACCAAGTTGTAATTAGTAAGTAGTTAATTTCCTCTTCAAGGATTAATACCAATGTAACTTACTTAAGTTTTCAATGTTCACTAATTTATCGATGCCTGATTTATTCAGTTTTGCACATGTTATGATTGTGGACAGACCACGGTGTCTTGTCAACGTATTCTACCGTGAACCTGAATACAAGTATTTAATTCAAGGGCTTCATGTCGTTGATTTTTTCATTACACACACACAAAAGCAACTCTTCGTAACATGAAAGACAAAATCTATTTCTCTTTAACATGTACCACTAATCACATACGTCTATTCAAAGAGACATACATATAAGAATAATGGTTACATACAAACATTACATACCATAGAATTTTTGTATGTACAAAATACGAAATCTTAGTCTAATTAAAGGATGATTAATTTACAATTAATTCCGTTCAGTTATTTCTACATTAAATAACTTGTTGCTTGCTTCGCCATTCTCATAATCATTAGAAACATCAAAGGATGTGGATTTTGCCGATAGCTGTTTACATGATGCCGTACTATTAATAATAGTCGACCTTCTTGTGCTGTTGAGTGTTTTCGAAGTGCTGCTTCGATGTAGAAGGCTGCTTTCGGTTTTCTCCATACCTGCAATTATAGAAATAACTGTCTTAATATACCTACGTACACATCTATATTGACCTAAATCTGCGCTACGAGTACTTGAATAATCCTAATTCATGTAATGGCAACCGTGAAATAATTACGGTGTTTTCACAAAAACTGCATAACAATAAAAGCAGAGTAAGAAGTGGTGAAACCGTGGCATTCGTGTGAGTGTCTAATGCGTATTTTTCAGGTTTTAATGTAGGCGATTACTTTAATTCAAAATCTATTACCAATTATCCTCGTTGGTTCGGTTCGCACATGCGCAAACCCCCTACTAAAATACCATATAATTGTATAACATATCTACAGTTAACTACAGTTAATTTGTTTAGCAAGCAAAAACGAAAAACGTAGATATTTTTGTCAAACATCATTCGCCAAGTGTACATGTGTTAAAATATAGTAAAAAAGATAAAATGTAACTTTCTACATGATCCTAGCATTGAGAAATAATACCCTAGGATTAAAAGGATGTACATAGGCGATGGGTAATGAGAATGATATATAACCGTTGAGTGAAGGATTAAATTACTCAATGATATAACAGGTACAAATTATGCACAACTTTTATGCTGACAAAGCCTTAAGCCCTAAGCCTCAATCACTCTGTGAGTAACAGTAAAGTTTTGACTCTATCATTAGATATGCCTAGTCGAGGCCTACGATACTTACAGGCCGGAGCGCTCCAAAAAGTCACGTGACGTTAGGAGTCATATGAAATACATTACGGCTTATGGAAAATCCGTGCGCGGCTCCACTATTTATTTTTTACTCCGGATCCGTTCAACACAATCAAATTATGGTGTTCGTTAATTTTTAATAACATTAAATAATTAATTTTTAGGTTTAAAGTATTGAAGATAAAACGATGTTAGTAAATCCGCGTGTTTCTATCTTTACATCATCATATTTCTTTTTCTCGGAACTATATCATTATAATCCTTTCGGTGTCTTAAACTAGAATGATATGCGCCTCCAATTATGCGTATATAATGCCTTATGTGGTATTAATATAGTTTTAACAGGCCCTACAAAATCGCGCATTTATTATCCGCGCAGAGAAAAATTCACCATGCGAGAAACTTTTTTGTTATTGCTATAATTGTATCACATATATCGAATGAATTGTGGCCAATGGACAAAAAAAATTCTTCAGAAAGAATTTTTAAGAAATGGTCTCTTGCATCCTTTTTTCAGCAGCTGAAGTAATAGCACGATTTCAAGAATAAGTGAACGCGCAAAGGAATTATTATGTTTCAAAGAATTGTTAGTAATCGATTTTCAAATTGTGTTTGTGAGATTCAAATTTACATTAAACTTATAAAATTAATATTAATATTATCAGTCAAAGGTATGGAGTTAATCATATCTTCGTTAATATGAATTTTGCAGTAAATAAAGTATTTTAGTTATAACTGCTCGTATGGAGGGTAATGGGAAATTTGTCTTGTCCGCCTATGAGGCCTGGTAAGTATCGTAGACTTTCGTCTTCATTCTATGAATAAATAAAAATAACCTTTTGAATAAGTTGTTTAAAAATATTATAGGCTGTCGGATATCTCAAACCACCTCTATCTAAACATCTTATGTATTCTAATTTCGTTGCTTTACTGAATCATCAATTTCCAGTGGTCTTTCAGTAGCAAATTTACTTTGACACCTAGAACAGGTGCAATATCTTCCAAACAGTTTTTGTATAATATACCCTCCAATAAATATGAGTATACCTTGACATCGTTTTCAGAAGTAACTATTTTGTCGTTTCAATACTTATATTTAACATCGCCTCATCTTCTGCTAAATTACACGACGAAACAAAATCTTTGATGCAAAATACTCCTCTGGAATGCGACTTTAAGCGCAATAAGCTTAATATTTTTAATTTTATAAGTTTAATGTAAATTTGAATCTTACAAACACAATTTGAAAATCGATTACTAACAATTCTTTGAAACATAATAATTCCTTTGCGCGTTCACTTATTATTAAAATCGCGCTATTTACTTCAGCTGCTGAAAAAAAGGAAACAAGAGACCATTTCTTAAAATTTCCTTCTGAAGAACATTTTTGTGTCCTTTGGCCACAATTCATTCGATATATGTGATACAATTATAGCCATAACAAAAAAGTTTCTCGCATGGTGAATTTTTCTCTGCGCGGATAATAAATGCGCGATTTTGTAGGGCCTGTTAAAACTATACTAATACCAGATAAGACATTATATACGCATAATTGGAGGCGCATATCATTCTAGTTTAAGACACCGAAAGGATTATAATGATATAGTTCCTAGAAAAAGAAATATGATGATGTAAAGATAGAAAAACGCGGATTTACTAACATCGTTTTATCTTCAATACTTTAAACCTAAAAATTAATTATTTTTAGTGTTATTAAAAATTAACGAACACCATAATTTGATTGTGTGTACTATTGACAAGCTCTCATTGAAATTTCGTGGCTCTATGTTGAACGAATCCGGAGTAAAAAATTAAATAGTGGAGCCGCGCACGGATTTTCCATAAGCCGTAATGTATTTCATATGACTCCTAACGTCACGTGACTTTTTCGAGCGCTCCGGCCTGTAAGTATCGTAGGCCTCGGTTCCATTAATATAATTAAGGCCAGTTTACTATAGCCACTACAACTTGACAACTCCCATTAAATTCACTGTGTTGATCAATAGCTACAATTGATTGGTTGGTCTCAGGTTCATTACAAGTTTTGATAGTAGGTACCTACTGCATATTTCCATATTTGACGAGATATTTGATGAACATTTTCCGGGGCAACCTTTGGTCGAAATCACAGTCAATGACGTGTTGTGAGCACAAAAGTAAATTTCGAGAGCTGTTCTTGAGATATATTTACAAATGTAATATTACCATTTTGCTCGAAGTACCGGTTCGTTTGGAAAACTACGAAACATAAACTAGGTACCTACAACCTCGCCTACAACATGATAAATGACATGTCTTACCGATGAAAGGAAATGCCCTGTTTCTTCCCTTTATGAGAAATTTTGCATGATACGCAGCTAATCATTCACAATTCACAAAATTGCGTGTGATAAAAACACTATGAGGCAGTTAGTTATTTATATAAACCAGAGCACAAACCGATCCGAAATTATTAGGTACTTTAAAATGGCAAATTTAATAAAATTTGAATTTGGTGGACAACTGACAGTGACAGGACCCGCGTTTTCATATGTCAAATAATGTCGGCAAAAATGTACCTTCACGGGAACCTATCCACGCGAGTGGCCTCTATCTGTGGCAACTTCCGTCTACAAAAATTCTTACCCCCTCTACCATTATATTCCCTCCATTAGTTTTCTAACTCAATGGTAGCGCCACGTCACCTCACGTTGCATCAGGAAGGTATGTTCCTGCCTTTAGGCATGAACAAGCTTTTGTATGTATTCTATTGCTAGTGTGGTTCATCCCTACACGAATATATTGATGACATTGATGCAGGCATTGACGAATACTAGTGACACGGTAACAAGGCATCATTATTATTATTATCATTGTATTTACAATGTTATTATATAAGTTTAGTTTATAGATAAGTCCTTTAGTAAATATAGGTACTAAAAAAGTTCGTAACCCGTTTTCAAAGGGAATGGTCTGCTTCGGTAGGGAACCTAGAGCATAATAAAAGTTTGATCAATAGCTGAAATAACGAAGATGTAGACTTCGGCAATTGTACATACTAATAAGCATAGAAAATAAGCAATATGAGCGGAAAACATACGAAAAAATCAACAAGCATTTCGGATGTGAACAAACACATTTTAGAAATAAAGAAAAAAATTCAATTATCAGGTAACCAACCACATTTTATTATCGTATTTAGGTAAATACCTACGAATAGCATTATGTTCTAGAGGGTCAAAGGAAGGCGCTATTTGAGGTGCGTGAAGCAGAATATAAAGGAAATTGCAACGAAATTGCGAAACTTAAAAAAGAAATATCGGAAATATTGGTTCTGCTTAATGAACAAAAATCCAATAGAGCCCAGAAGCGAATTAAAAGTGGTCGTCTTAAAAGTACAGTTGGGGCATTGTGCGAGAAACCTTCCTGGATAACCCAAGAAATGTTAGATCTTCACGTTATAGATAAAGGCAAACAACATGATCTAATTCGTTATCAAGTTCGTCAGGTAGGTAGGGTAGGTACTATTGTACAAAACCAATGCTGTAGTTATTATAAAGCATTCCCTAAGTTGCACTGACCGATTATACTATACGCATTTTCAATTACAGAAACAATTATATTTAGCAAAACTTGCCAAAGAATATCAAAAGCTTGCATTGGAAAAAGGGAAAAAACTTTTAATACAAAAGGTAGAAATACCATTCAAAAATGTACGCAAGTGTCTCCATATGCATTATATGGTATTAAAATTTAACCCCCCTAGATTTCAACTGAATTGCAAAACAATATGCACGCAATTAAAATTCAATGGAGGGAAGCAGCACACGTTAACACTCGATATAAAGACATAATGACATCTTTGCAACAAGATGGGGCTAGATTTGAATTTAACATGAAATGTATCGAAAATCAACTCTGTGTCCAAAGAACTGAAATAGATAGACTTCAAAAGGTACCTGTAGAGACTTTTGTTTACTGTAATATACTGTTTTTGCCTTTAGATTGCAGAAGAGGCATCCGAAATGCGTGGCCGAGCACGTACAGCACTGGTTCAACAAGAAAAATCCGCTTTAAACGCAGCGAAATCTAGAGATCAACAAGAATCGGAAGGACGATTATTAGTAGAGAAGGGACAACAAGAATTGGAAAAGTTGGAAAGAAGAATATTTCAGTCCGGAAAGGTTCCAATAAGACCCGAGACGGATAGTAAACTCGAAAATAATGTAGTAGCTGAACAATCGACACCTTCTCCTCAAAATGATGACGTTATTGTAGACATATTTGAAAGTCTTAAACAAGGAACTGGTATGTATTATAATTATAGTATTTACTGTGCTCGCACGAACAGGCATATTCTTTAGGGGCAACAACAACGGAAGAGGTTTTAGAACGTTTTCGAGCTCAACGGGAAACTGACAGCAGACTGAATAACTTAAGAAATAATTCCGAAATTGAAAAACGACATTTAGAAAAAACTCAGGAGGTTTTGAATTTTGAACTTGAACAACATAAATATGCAGAAACGCGTGATGAGGAACAGTAAGCATTTATATGTATGTAGCATCCTAGACTAAATGAACTAAAATATAGTACTGAGTTCAAAATGTAGTAGATATGTAGCTGACTAAAGTAAAAATAATATGCAATTAGCGATTACTACCTTTGCTTAGGCGAGTTTTACATTATTACAGAACTAGTAGAAGCTTAATTGTAGCAGTTCGCTGCGACTGCTACAGCAGATCTTACATTAGGCAACACATGCCACAGTGACCAACTACAAAATGAAATAAACTGTTTTGCCAGAGTTACTCATGGTGCCTGGTGGGTGGGATTTACCTTGTTTTATATAACCAAACTTATTCAATATTTTAAAAATTAAAAAAAAAACTGACTGATGTTACCGTCTACCGCGTCTTTCCCTTTTTTTTTGTAAGAAGAAAAGATACGAAATTCTATGATTGGATTTTTGGAGACCTATTATTTCATTACTTTTTGTTAGGTACTTATTTGTTAACAAAAATTGAAGATTAAATTTATAACTATTAAATTCAATGGCTACAAAGGTTCCGTTTATCGTTGTCAAATCGGAATGTCAAATTTTCAATTTCGCAGTATATGTACAAAATCATTTCAAATGCATTAATATAAAGTATACCTTAGATTATTGTATCTTTCTAGAAATTTAGAGCAAGTGGAGCAATTTGAGAAATTAATACAAGAACAAGAAGAGTTGCAGAAAAACTATGAGAACCAAAAAGAAGAGACGAAAACAGTTATACGGCATGTCGGTGCGTGTTTGGACAGCTTATACAGAGGCATACATCCGCTGTCCACTGTCGAACAAAATTCAAAAATGGCGTTGCAAAGAGTCGAGGCCGAACTTTGTGAGATAATTTCAGAATTAAATCAAGCGAAACCTTCCGTGAAGTACCCTGCAATGGTAAAGTATCCAAATACTCACTATGCAAAAATTGTATAAAATACATTGAAATCCATTCAAATTCATAATTAATTTTGCTAGATATAAGACAAGACAAGACTTACTACAGTGCACGAAACTTTGTTATAGATTGAGGTGTTGGAGATGGATGAGGATAAGTGGTTACCACCACCCTATGGAGGCTTGGTAGCAAGAACTCCAGTTCCTCAAGAAGAGTCACCTATCCCACAACCAATTGGTTAGTATGAATTTGATTAAGCTTTTTTAGATCTAACTGGAATCAATTTCCAAGTTGGTTCTACAATCGGTTTGGCATCTTAGCTAGGCTAGCTGTGGTGAGTGAATGCAACGCTCGAGGCAACGCTATTTGATTTAAATGAAACTGTTGAGTGCGAACTAAAAGAGGCGCAACTTTATTAAATTAGATGACACTTGTTAAAAGGCACCGAGATTGCCGCAGTTGTAGTAAGCGTTCATGTTGTTGAGTTGAGCGACGATTAAGCATCATAGCACAGAAATATACTCAGACTTTTTTTTAATTTGGCGGCTTTGCGGTGTCTTACTACGCAAAGTAACTAACTCACCGATGAACCTTCGCGAAATCAATTTGTGCCAGTTTATGTTCATTGCATTAGCATTCCATTTTTCAGTTCTCTGCATCAGAGTTGTGGAAAGCTTCGGTGAGTGAGATGAGGAATATGTATCGCAAATTTATATTATATTTGTGCCTCTTTATTGTTTCTCACTCAACGCTGAAACTTAATTTATCTTTATTTATCACTGAGGGGTTTATGCAATTCACAGTTGGTGTTGCTTAGTTAAACCACAGATAAATTTTGGGTATTTTATCTGTGGTTAAACATATCCTCCATATGCCATTTAATTATTTAAATGTAGACACAATTAAACTTTCAATCGTTGAGCATAATTATAAATATAAAACAAATACATATACAAAAGATAAAATACAAGGATTGAAGTTTCTGTAATTACTTAACGTCCGACGAACCAAATTTCAAAAATTTCACACACTTAAGGGTAGGTATATCTTAAGAGATAAAGATTGGTGATCCCCTCGGTCATCCCTTAAAGTAAACTAAATCTTAAGATAAATGAAATACTTGCATAAACACCTTGAACTTGAAGTCCTTCTGTTTCATCTTATAGGTAAATTAAATAGCGTTGCACAAACCACAAACCCATCATACTTATCATTACACACAACTCAAATATGTGGGTAAAATAGGGTTTTATTTGTGTTTAGGATCTGATGATGATGAAGAAGTGCCGACTCGAGGTTACCTTAAACGTCAAGCTCAATTGGTAGTTGATGCGAGATTGAGGAGAAAAAATATACGTTTTCAAAGAAAATAAAAACCTCTTGAAGCTACATTCTAGTTAGGTGAATTATGTGTAATTGTATATATAACTCTCGCCAGGAAAGATTACCGGTCACAGCACACCTTGTGTCGATTTACAATCTATGTTTTTCTTAAGATGCGAGCGACTTCCGGAATAGGATCGCGCCAATGTTTAATGAAAAGTCTTTTTGTTCAACATTGACACGATACTGTGCGATCAAAAATGAGTTGCTGTCGAGTCGCCTTTGGAATTTTTGTTGACATGGCAAATCGTACTTAACTTGAACTTCCAAAGGCGACTCGACAGCAACTCATTTTTGATCGCCCGTTACTATCCCGGAAGTCGCTCACATCTTTAGAAAAACATAGATTGTAGACCAGGATCAAGTGTTCTATGACCGGCAATCTTTCCTGGCGAGAGGTTTACTACCCACACATTTATAAGATTGCAGTAGAAAACGTGGTTTGCCATTTAATTATTGTAAGAGATATGTATATCTAGTTCCTTAATGGTGAACATCTAAATGAATAAATAACGATTTTAATATTTTATGGGATAAAGGGTCCTATTCTTGAACTTGTGACTTCCGTGTGAGTGAGTGAATATGACGTCATGTCGAACGATTTTCATACTTATATATAATCTACCCATATGGTTTTTTTAGATACGACATGCTTAGTATACACTATACAGCCATTTCGTGCTACGTTTTCGACTTAGACCGTTCTGCGCAGATGCCGAAGACCAAGGCATTTTTATAACGAAGCTTGTTTATGTATTTATTTCTCTAGGTACTCACGAGGAAGTTTATTATCAGTGTGATGGTGCTCAGCTTGATTAGATCTAACTGTTTCCGTGAGAAAAGTACTTAATAGTTAATACAGTCCGATGCTTTGCTGTATTTGTTACTTTCTTACCTCTGGCCCGCTACCGGACGGTGCGTAAGCTATATGAGAATTAAAGGGCCCTCTAACGACAGTTTTGCCAGAAACGATCGAAAGCGTCAATAGCGACACATAAATTAAGTAATACTACTTACATAAATTTAACCCTGAGAAGGGGGTGAAAAGCACCCCAAAAATGTTAAATGGGAAGGGGTAGTAAATGTTAGATAGGTCGAAAGGAATGTTCATTATGTTTCAGAACTGTTTTTATTTTTCAAATCCGATATCAGTAGTTCCAGAGAAAACTCGACTTAAATGGATTTGCAGAGCCGTTTTAAATGTTTATTAAGTAGGCGTTGAAGCTGAAATAATTGAGCTTGTGAGTTGTGTCAGAAAAGAACATCTGACATAAGTGCAATATACACAAGCAATGAAGCGAATTTGTGATTAACTTGTTTAATTTTGTGGTAAATTCAAAAACAACGAAGGTTTACATTATAGCTCAAAGGGTGGAAATTGTTTCGATTTTTTTAAATGGCGATTCTGCCTTCACAAATTCGCTTCCTGCAATCCCGCACCAAAATTTCAATCCCGGTATTTGCGGGATCATCAGATAGTAATCCCGCTGAATCCCGGTATTTGCGGAATCCCGCAAAATTTTAAAAACATTCGGAAATAAGCAATTTTGTGCAGTTAACGGAATATTCTCAAGAAAACACATTGCTTTTCGCGGAAAGAATGCATCACCTCCGCCGTCTTCTTGTCGCCGATGAGTGATCTTTTATGGCCCCTCATGTCTATTTGAATTTCTAGAATATTCGCTGCAATATTTCCATACGGCTACTTCACTACTAAAGTCTTTTATAAACAATCGACGAGTCCGACATTGTCTACAAGAATAACGGTTCGTGCGTTTGAAAACAGTAACAAAATAAGTCCGATTTGCGCACTCACTTGCTGTTTAACAAAGTTAATAACAGATACGGGTTTGCGCGTAATTATTGCATGAACTGCAACAACAAAAACGTGTGAAGTAAACAAATTCGCAGAGGTGCTAATGATGGGGGTAAGCGAAAATCCCGCCGGATCCCGCTCCATTAACGTACGGGATTAATCCCGCAAAAAGACTGCGATCTCGGTATTGCATTCCCTAGTACGCACTAAGGTGAATCAAAAATTCAAATGCGAGACGTTCGCAAAATGGTACAAACATGCGTATACAAGTGGCACCACGCTCAGAAAGTCCCTGACAGGGCGTGTCCGAGGGCGCTAGAAATTTAGTCTTGAAAAAGACGAGTTTGTATAAAACTGGAGACGGAAAACGTGAAGTAAAGTAAATACAAGAAGCAAAGTGTAAGCTAAAATAACGTAAAGCGTCAACTGTCAAAGAATAATTAATAATATGGCGCGGAATGTATCGCGTAATTTTGCAGAATTTCTATTGGCCAGCCTGAATTATTTCAAAATTAGTTCGCATATTTTCCGGGGCTTTTCTGAGCATGGTGGCACTGTGCTATATGCGATGAAACATGAGTTGCTGTCGAGTGTCGAGTCACCTTTGGAATTTTTGTTTACATAGGAAATCGTACTTAAGGGTGGAATTGAAGTACGATAAGTTGCCTAACCAAAACTTGGATTTTTATTTCGTGGTTATTTCAAAATTTGACAATTTTATATCGAGAAATAAAGATGCACATACTAACATATGATGTATTGAATCATTTGAATGTATTCGTGATCAAATTTGACGCTAAATATTATAAATTGCACTATCACTTCTTTAAGATTTTAAATGAAAATTGATGAATTTGGTATCATTAGAAAGGTAATGTTACGCAGAATCAAATTTGCATAAGTGAATTATTAGCAAATGTATACGTGTTCTTCTAACCACGAAACAAAAATGTAAGAAAAAACGTCGCCATTACTGTCTTCTGCCGTTTAGTTTAGTATAGCTATTTTCACTCAGATGGCGGTAATGGCTGAAGGTATCCTAATGCAGAAGTCCTAAACTTTTTTTGTGTTAGGTGTACATTATGGTTCAATAGCATTAACGAAAGTAATGCGTGTGAAATCGATGTCATTCAACTTTTTTTTCACGACAGTTACGCTATTGTAGAATTATACCTGGAAACGCGTGTATCCACACCTACGAGTAAATTTCTTACTCGGAGATCCACACCAATCTATGTCACAATTCCGAGATCTCAATTTTGCCAATACTTGAAAAATTGAATCGATAATTTCGTTGCATCAATGAATAATTTTACAACCTACCAAAAAACAAAGGAATAGCAAAACAGAAAATTGTTGTCTATCAATTGCCTTTGAATAAAAGGCTACAACGATATACTTGTTTAAAGCCGTTCAATTTGAAATGTACTAATTTATATTTATTTATTTCTAATAGTTTATCTTATTTCTTCACTTGAATTTCACAGTGGGATCTGTGAACAGGTGTTGAACCTCCAAATGTGAACTGGTATTTACCGCCACCGCAGGCACTTTAACTGTTTGTTTCTGAAATAAGGGTTGACAAACTTGACAACCTAATTGCACATTGTGAATAACCGGATTGTAGGTAGATAGTATACTCGGCTAATACGGTTACCATTGTGTAACTTTCTTACTTATTTTAAGATGGAAAGGTACCTATAGTCGGTTTTTGGATTCTCAGAAAATAGGATGGCGGTGATTTCTTGTCGATTACCTACCTACTGATGAGGAAAATTCAAGGTATTTTAAAGGAAAAGATAAGTGATTCATACAACCTGTAGCATTCTTCATTCGTTTAGAACGAGAATATTCAAATAGGGAAAATTACCAACCCCCATAAAATATATTTAGTATAAACGCTAAACTATAAAACAATAATCAAATAATTATAAATTAAGAAATAAGAGATAACCCCTTATCGAATTTCAATAGTAGGGATAGGTACTACAACTACCACAGTAATACATGCACCAAAAAACTCTATTTATTTATTTAAAATAATTATGGTATGCAGAGTGCCTGAGCGGCGTTTACAATTAGAATTTTTGGCAGTAAATCTAAGCAGTGTACGTACTATGGCGTTCATGAATCACAGCATTCACATCAGCCCCTAAAATCTAATAATAAGACCGGTTTGGCATGATCCTACCAACATTAGAACATATCAATACGAGGATCACGTTTTAAGTATACGAGTATACCTATAAAGAAGGAAACAAAGATTTTTGAAACAAACGGTTTGTTACCCTTTTAATAATTAATATACGCTTACATGTGTCCATACAACAATTTCAAAGCATTTTTTTCTTCTACTACTCATTTTTATAAATTTTTCATACCTAAATATCTTGAATACCGGAGTTTTGTCCATCTTTTAAAAACTTCAACCGACCACAACTGCATTATGCAAACCAATTATTGTAAAGAGCGCTTTTTAATTCTACGTATTCGTATTGGACATCCTAAAAGGAATTCACTGAGAGCCTTGTAGTTTCCACTTTGTTCATAAGTTTCTTCCATTAGGCATTCGCTCTAAACAAACTACCCAAACAATTTTTAAGCAGTCACAATAAATAATTTATAAGTGACCTGTTTGGAAAAATATAAAATGTGACCCGCGTAAGTAATAAAATTTCATGTTTATATGCCCATTTAACTTTTGATAATGTATTGGAACATGTAACAAGTACACTATATAATAACTGAAGAGAGGAGAAGATGCTGGAACAAAAATAACGAGAATAGTGTTTGTTTCCCTGAACAAATATTCAAGCAAATATCCACTGGTTTATAGTACTTAGGAATAGTAAAAATTCACAGATTGCGCAATCCTTGTAACCGTCGGAGACATTGGAAATGATAACCGTAGGTATAACCTATAAAGTTATATATAACCCTTCACACGGAATAATCATGCTCCACTCGTACGCAAGCTCGCTCGTGTCGCAAACGTAAACTTTCTGAATAATAAGCGGCGTAAGTACATGTTGTAGTACTATCAAGGGAGATGTGCGGGAATTTTAAATTCGAATTAACAAAACCCCTGCGCACTGTTAAGTAAGTACCGTATCGACAGTGTCCGCGACTTTTCCTGAATCTATACCGATTGCAGTCGAGTACGGTACAATCAGCACTAGACGCGACACCACTGTCTTTTTTTCTACTCGGCAAACCTGGTAAATTCATACCCATAAAACATAAGCATTTCCAATGCTAATAAGAAAGTTGGCATGCGCAAAACAATGTTCTAAAAAAGTTTGATTAGGTACTTCTTTTGTAAACCAGCAGTGTAATCACGGATCACGCTGGTGAATTGATGGAAATTTTAGTTGAATTTCTAAATTGATACTTAAATTATCATTTGTATTGTCACTTTTTGGTTTGTCAAAGAAGGGTATACGACCTAACAGTAGTTACATACATCTCATCCTCAAAATAATACTGTGAGGTGGCAATAAGTTATTCATTAGAAGAATCTTTTCTTCTGTCTCGTAACTCGTTTACATGGCTACCTACCAGAGAATGCTAACATTTTATGACGAAAGGAGAAATTCCTAAGGATTCGATTCGTGGCACATTTCTACACACAACTGCATTTACTAACATTAATTTATTTTAATTTAACCTGTTTCTCCTCCTCTCTTTTCCGAATGGCTTCTGATATATATGGGGGATCGATGCATAATTTGTGTTTTTGCAAATTTCCCCTAACGATTTCTGGTAGCACGCAATCCAGGTAAAACTTTTCTAATTTCGGTACCATACGTGACATCCGAAATTCATGATCTCTCTCTATATTTTCTATGAAGAGAGGATTATTGTCTCCTGAATAGACAATAAATTTGCAGTATTTCCTATTTGTAATGTTAAGTTGTCCTTGAACCTATGAATTTATAGTATTTAAAAACAAATTAAGCATGTAACATAAGATATAACTATTACCTGAAAATAATAGTTGTGATTTCGTTTTAAACTTATATTACCATCTGAATTGAGTTCCAAACAAGGAACTACTTTGTTTTTTACTGCAAACATAAGCGATTGTCTTTCTTGCGAAATTTTCCATAAGCATTTTATCTCAATCAGTCCATCTGTGCCAATTAGTCCTATGAACGTAGAGTTTGAAGACTGTAAGTAATAATCATCATTACACTTACCATCAGGAGACGCAGCTAAATAACCTCTATCTAAGTCAATATAGAGACCGGATTCCTTCACGGGTATGTTATTTTCTCGGGAAAATCTCTCTCTCACCATGCTCTCGCTATTCTTCCCGTACTCCATTGCTCTGCTATTTTTTATCACAGCGGGCATTAGTATTTGCTTTACCAAATTATGGCAGGGTGTTGTCGGAAGTCTTTTAACCACTTGACCAAAAATTGACGCCGTTAGTCGGTGTTTTCGACGGTTTATGTACAAATGGTTGTCGAACTGGCCCAACGTCTCGTTGGCAATTAAGTCTTGGTCATCTTTTCCTGTAATCTACAATGCACATGATATCCCAGTTTTGGGTAAATACAAAAATGGGTACGTACCTGAAATTCATGTAACCTTCTGTTCACTTCGGAATCAAACTCTTCTTTGGTAAGTTCTCCTTCCTCAGCATTTGGTCCATAATCAAAGTTAGGCTGCTCGGTTGGAACCATCAGATCTTTCTTGTATGGAGTGGTGTTTTTTCTGTGCTCGGTTTTCATTTCTCGGGATCGTTTTTGGCGTATCATATACTCCTTGAAATGGGAGCCAGGGCTTTCTCCAATAACATTTCTCCAAGGACTGTAGTGCCAGGATGTCCCTTTATCATATCTTAAACCCGCTAGGTGTGACCTGGTTTCAAAAGATCCTCTCTGTGTTAAATTTAATCTTTTTCCAGCATTGAAGCGCGCTAGGATTGCCATGTATAGCTCAGCTCTATTATTAGTTTCATTACTAATGAGCTTATGGGATTTCTTTAACACATTATCTAGGGCACCTTTAAAAGTGGTACTTAAAATTATGTTAATTATGAAATTTTTTTTACTACCTTTAATGTGCAGCAACAGTCCACTATTACGCAACGAATTTGACAAATTCTCATCGAGCTTACCTACGTCCTCACAATAAATATCTCTGCAGCTCCTATGGTCTTTGAAGACGTGGTATGGACTGTTAACGACGTCAGCCTTAAGACTTTCTACGTCACCTAACGCGTTGTCATAAATTGCATTTTGCACTCTATTTCCTAACTCTTCAATAATTTTCCCAGTTAGTAATTTCCGTGCTTGCAGGTGTACATTTTTGTCATTTTTTATAAAACGCAAGGCCTTTCCAAAGTTTTTAATGACATGATTTGTGCATTCAACTTTTTGCACTTGCTCGCCATATGGCACCTTTGCTCTAATTTTGGCATACACGCTGGAATCCTCGTCCGCAATAAAATATTTATATCGGATCCCATGCATTTCTTGGGACCTACAAAATCCCTCTACAACAATATCGGCCTCCATCGAGGACGAAGAACCGGACCAATTTTTATAGCAGACATGCTGCCCTATAGGAATCTGCTTATTAGCGGCTCTTGCACATATGCTACAATATTTATTCCTAACCCCTAAATATAGCAGCTTTCCAGATAACTTTCCCACAATTATCGCCTAAAATAGCTCTTTCAAAGGTGCTTTGCAAAATAAAGGTAACTTACTGTGCCAGAAGATGCATTGTAGCTATGACCATATGACCTTTTACTCCAACCTCCATCTAAATAGACAGTTGTGTATGGAGTACCATCTGTATCAATTTGGCCTGCTTTTATTGCTCGTTTTCGCTCCTCTTTCCCGTTTTCTTCCATATCAGAAAAGAAACTATCTTTCCAAGCCTACAAAAAACATAATAATTTTATGCCAAAATTGCTGAATTTTACTCACGTTGGCCAATTCATTTTCAATTTGCTTAAACTTATAAAGGGTCAATGGTGGAACATCGATTACTGATAAAAATTCCTCTAAATGTCCATATGTGCTACCTACTGCCAATGTACCCCACACCGCTCCAAAATTAATTTTAGATCGTTCTTTTTTCGGATCTTCAGTAAAGTAGCTATACTCGTTTGGACAAGCGGTACACTTGAAAATAATTTTACTAATAAGCCCTGTTCCCCAACGGACCTCTTCTTTTACAACTAGAGTACCATTTGTACAAGTTTTTGAGTGATTGTATTGCAAGTTGATGGTGTTTGTGTTTCACTAGAATAATTTGTAATTACTAGATTTACCTATGCGGGTTTTTTTTAGATAAATATATACTAATGCACCAAAAATCTTTTACACTGCATAATAGCAGAAAACAGTGAGTTTCAAATTTCAAGAAATTGATTAGAGTTTAGGGAACTTAAATAAAATCCATTAACAAATGATTTTATTTTTAATGCTTTAAAAAACGCTAAATAAACAATAACTAAACAATACTAGGGTTGAGCATCACCGGCTAACTTGTGAAAATTGACTCGAAAATTGACCATTTACATGGCAGTGAGTTTAATGCACATATAATAAAATAAGAACCAACTTTTCAAATATTGAGTGGCGTTGGTCAATCTATGCTATTCCCTAGAATTCGATCTAAAATTCATAATGCTTTGATGAAGGATACATAGAGAAATTGTACCTCTGTATTTATTAAAAAGAATCTATATCTGACGCGTGTGTACATTAGTATATGTATATCAGTATATCACAGTATGGAAAGAGGAAGAAATTCTGGACTTCGGAAAATTTAATGTAAATTTTATAGGCAGTTTTATGTGATACACGCATATGTCTACTTCTATTATAACAAGTGTTACCTTTTTTTATCACGCAATTCCGACGATTCCAAGGATCTTTCATTTTGCTCTACATTTGAGGATCCGGCCGATGTATTAGGAGCAGAATAAGCAACGGACGTTGAATAGGTGTACGAATGTTCGTTTCTGAATATAAAGCACCAATATAATATTACCATCTAGATAACAGAATTTGGTTTAACGGACTTACAAAATTTGGAAACCAATCTCTTCGCGTTTTTTTTGTGCGCAAGTATCAATGACTTGGAACGAGCCGATCGCTTTCTCGATTTACTGGGGTTTAAATGATGAGAAAGCTTTCGTTTTCCCATGACAATATCCTACGACAAACATAGCAACATTAGGTACACTGTTTCTGATAATTATCTCTCAGCTACTATCTATTGTCATCAAAAATATTAATATCACGACCTAGTAAATTAACTTTTTTTATTTAAATGATTATTTTTTACGTTTCTCGAAACCAATAGAAATGTTCAATTTCAGTCATTCATATACGTTCTAGCCAATCAAAACATTATTATAGTGGGAATAATCTACTTACATTATTCCCAGCGAGAATTTTTCTATGTACATTGTTTTTACTGAATGACAACCACATGACAACGATTTTCTTGATCTGTCATAATTTTCAAGACGCTCGTAAAATGAATCGCAAACGTCTTAGTGAATCATCAGTCGATGAAATAAGTAATATAATCATTGTAAGTAAATGTAAGTGCATTTAAGAATATGTACCCTAATAACTAATAAGCAACGCGTCTGTTTGGAAACAATTCCAATTATTTTGCGACGAGATGAGGGGCTATAAATTGGAAGAAAAAAACATCAACCGCAAAACTAGTCGTTATTTTGAAGGACTAATGGGTTCAATATGGGAAGAAACAGAATGGAGAAGACTATAAACAAAATCTTAAAAGTCATTTTGATTGTAACGTGAAAAAATAATCTATCGAATAACACACGAGAGTTCGATAAATTAGATAATAATTCTCCAGGTCTTTTCTCAAACTTATTGCCATTTGGCAATAGTCACGAGAGCAAAGCCGAGCCGAGCTGAAAGATTTTTCATGTAAAGTCTTTCAGCTCGGCCTGAAGATGACATTCTCGATAGCCGTTAGAAAATAAAAAATTTTTGAATCTCAATTAATTTTCATCATATATGTAATTCACAAATAAAAAAATAATGCTATAGTTTCGCGCAGAGATCGTATTTTCTCCACATTTGCCCAAAAAACAATCTGATGCTCAATAGAGAGATTTTACGCGATTTCTACAGACATTGGCTCCTTTTCCAAATCTAAAATGGCAGAGAATCGGTATGCTTTTAAAACCCCACTGAATCGTGCATAACGTTTATGATATGAAAAGATTTTTTCACTCAATCTTCTCAACTAGAGAAGGATAATAATTACGCTTTAACGATAGCCAAATAGTTAATTATTTACATTTTCAATAAGTAATTATCTACACAATTTTATATGCTGTGGTGAAGTGTCGTAACGAGGGTCTGTCATGTATCTTTACAATATTATACCTAAATCTCATAAGCGCACGGAGGCTACGTCCGCTACTCAAAATTTATATAATAGAAAATAATATAAAATAAAATATCAGAAAAAGTAGGTACAGGTGCAATGGTGTAGAAGGGTTTGTCTACCTTGCACGTCAAAATTAACAAAAATTATTGTAAAAATTTAAGGTATTGTTAGTTTAACGACACTGCTGGCTGCGGTAGTGTGTTTTTACTGTTGCGGTCGTAAACACCCTTGTTTCTGAGAAGTAAGCATGCAATTCTAATAAGGAAAAGGTGTTAGGTAGGTACCTCTAGAGAGGATTGCATCTTCTTAAATAAACTTTGTTATGGACACCCACCGTTTCCAATACAAAAGAATCCCGCATTTTTTAGTTTCGCATGACTTATAGTAATTATTGTGCATTATTAACGAATTAACTTATTTCGCAATTTCAACACCTTTATCGTCTTCAATATGACCATGAGCTGTGCACGTGCGGACATGAAACGTGTCTCGTTACGACACAGCAAGACGTATAAATGAATAATAAAATTAAAATAATCACTGTAAATGTACTTACCTAAAATTATCCGAATTTGGAAAATTATACAAAACTTTAAAAAATAAAGTTTTGTAATTTTAAAGTTTTGTAAATATGTTGAAAATTAAACTTCACGTCTGTGTAATGACACTACACCACTGAATAATTTCAAATGCACTACGCAATGACAGAATATACTCGTACGTACTATACCTATAGGTAAGACGAAAAAAAGTTTGGGACTTCCTGGAATGGTCAGTACCTAATACAGTAACAGCGACATCGGTTAGACAGTAGGCATAGGTAACAATCTTCTCTTCTGCTTAGTTCTTGAAAAAAACTATAGATGGATATAAGTTGCAGCTGATCAAGTTTAGTTCACCAATCGTACTGTAGGGGGATTTAATTTCTACCCTTAACGTGAACTTCCAATGGCGACTCGACACCAATGAATAAAAATTTATTCATTGCTCGACAGCAACTTATTTTTGATCCCTTGCTACCAGTGGCGGTTCCAGCCCCCCCCCCCCCCGAGTGTTCATTTTTTCATCAAATTTCTGTCGATCTCATTTCCATTATGCGAGATTTCTTTTATTTTTTTCCTTGTTGGGACAAAGTTCGGGTTTGGGCCCCTCCCTACCAAATCCTGGGACCGGCACTGCCTGTTACCACGTGCAACATGAATGCGTAACATCTCTTTGATGATATACCTGCAATACACCTATATAGACAGTACCACCTCCTAGCAAGAGAGCAAAGAAATCTTTATTTGTCGCTCTGAGGGTACAATAGTCATTTGTATCGAAATTGTATTACTTACCTACCTAGTAATCTAAATATCTTTATCTAATATCTAATCTACACGTAAGACACACCTGACACCTGTTATTGATTTTTTGCAAGGAAGTTGGGAAATACGAAAAAAGGAATCACGCATGCCTACAATTGACACATAACCTACAATGCAATAGTAAACAAGGTAAACAATGAAAGATGTCGTCCTTGAAGCATCAGATAAGACAAAAACTGGGAATTTTGAAAATGACGTAAGTGAGCCTGAAAAATCAATATCCATGTAAACACTGTGATCATATATACACTATTTATTTTACATTTTAACGAATCTTTATTGAATTTTATATTACATTATAATGGAGGTGAGTCAAATCTATATTTGCTTCTACATTTCTCTATGTAATTGAATTATAGCACATATCCCCTGTTGCTCATAATGAATCTGTGCAAGTGGTGGTAAGGTGTAGGCCTATTAGCAAAAAAGAGACGGACGCTGGCTGTACAAAGGTAGTGAATATATTTCCCGCACGAGGAGTTATTGAAGTACAAAATCCAAATGCTCGTAATGAAAATGAGAAGAATAAGATGTTTACCTACGACGCTGTTTATGACGAAGGGTAGTTTCTGAATAATTACATCACACACTATAATTTTGATTTGTAGTTCAACACAGCAAAGTATTTACGACGAAACGGTCAGACCTTTAGTGGCATCTGTTCTTGAAGGGTACAATGGCTGTGTCTTTGCCTATGGTCAAACAGGAACAGGCAAAACATTTACAATGGAAGGAAATGTGTCGGACAAAGAAGAGCAAGGAATTATTCCACGAGCATTCGAACAAATTTGGTCTCATATTAATAGAACCACAGGTGTAGAGTTTTTAGTATATGCACGCTATTTAGAAATTTATATGGAAGAAATTCGGTACATAATAATTTATATTACGCTTGCATTGTATAATTGTACTCATTTTCAGCGATCTCCTTAAACTAAAAAACCCAAAACCTTTAGAATTACGTCAGTCGGCCGAAAAAGGGGTGTTTGTATCACACTTACACTCACAAACTTGCCAGTCTGCAAACGATATGATGAAAGCTATGAAAGTAGGCAATCGTAACCGGACTACTGGAATTACGAACATGAATGAGCATAGTTCAAGATCTCACGCAATTTTTCAAATTTCCATCGAAATGGCCGAGGAGAAGTCGAAGAGCGTTAAAATAGGAAAGTTAAATCTTATTGATTTGGCGGGAAGTGAACGTCAGTCAAAAACCGGAGCCTCTGGTGATAGACTCAAAGAAGCGAGTAAAATTAATCAAGCACTTTCGTCGTTAGGTAAATTTACATTTAAAATTTCAAAAATGCGAAAAATGTATGCGGCAACCTCTATCACATTAGAGGTGAGGGGTTTGGTAGGTACACAGAAATAAAGATATCAAAACACATAACAAGGAACCGGTTTTGAATAGTTCTTAATTAAAGTACGAGTTAAAGTATAATAAACAATAAGACTTTCAAAATTTCAAAGTTTATAGAAAGTTCCTGAATTGCAAGTTTGATTAGTGTGAAATATCAACATGTAGGTATTATTATTATTACTATTAATATTGATGCGAGGGATATGGGTGAGGGAATGTTAATTGTTGCACTTTCCCCTAGGTGCAGGTTTTTGAGAGTGTGTATGGCATCAACCCCAGCTTGAAAGATGGTGAACTTTTGGTTTTTATCAGCTTCCCCAGGTGGAATTTCCTTGTTAACTTTTGGATACTCCTGGATGTTAAGAGATTGACGACCAACAGCGATCACAGGCACTTCCTTCTTCAGTGACCACTCTCAGTTTTGCTGTAATTTTTTACGGAATGAGATAAAAAAAGAAAAATTATGACATGTCACAATATGCCTTTTTTACAAGAAAAATTTCAAAATCATATGTTTTGAATTCATTTCTCAATAAAACATCCACCGGTAACTAGATCTTGCATTCAAATGAATTTCTTTTTTATCCTCCATCTCATTCCGTAAAAATCCAGTATGGCGTCCATAAGAAATAAGAAAGTCGTAGCCTGTAGCTTCTACATCTAGCTTGTTATGGAAATTCTGATAACAGATTCAGATTCCGTTTAAGATAGGGAAATTGAAAACGAAATTTGACATTTTCAGTTTTACGGTGATATCTCAGTTTTTTTTAAAGATTTTTCCGACGATTTTTCAAAAATTTTAAAAGCGTTTTTTTTAGTCACAAAAAGGGGAACTTTGCACTGATTTAATCTGCACGTGACACGTCATTATTTTCCTTCTTTTGTCCTCTTATTTAATTCCTTAAAAAAATTACACCAAAACTGGGGGAACAGTTGATCACAGTTGACAGTGGGCAGTTTTTTGGTTGAGCAGTGTTTTTCACCTGTTTTTATAGATAGAGACAATTTTTTTGTCAAACTTTGAATATCACAAACAAAACCAAACTACTATCGGAGTAAAATGTAGAGTCCGCTCACTTTGAAGGCTCAAATCTCAAAATCGCTGGAGCCGATATTAATGAAATTTTTGGAACGTATCAATTGGTAAGTTGTTGTTAACATACGTAAATTGTAAATTTTTGCTGCCAGGACTTTTTACGTTATCGAATTTTTAAAGTGTATCTTATAATAAGCGAATAAACGCGTCTGTCATTTTATCGCTGTAACGTTTGCGTAATTATACAGAAATGCATAAAAATGTATCGACGTATAGTTAAAGGTGTATTCTATCACATACGTAAACATTATCCCATTTGAGTGAATACTTTTTTTGTAATTAAATCCTAAAGTTCTGAGTTCGTATACTTTCATTGAAAAAGCGCGCTTTCCCGTACATATTTCACTATCACATTTTCCCAAATTTAACAAGAAATATGACATTACGTACGGATACGTAGAAATAGTTGACGATTATATTACGCTTTATTTGATAAAAATCGGTTGGGTAGTTTTTTTTATAACCGTTTAAAGCCAGCGGACTCTACATTTTACTCCGATAGTAGCTACGTTTGTTTTTGAGATACAGCGTAAAAACGAAAAGTTTAACTTTTTGAGATGATTTTTTTGAAATTATTTTGTATATTTGGTAGGTATGAGAATAGGTCCTAAAGTATATTTTATATAATTAATAGTAATACATATTATTATTAGCGGCATGAAATATACTTACCTATTCTCAAACATACAACAAAAATGTCATAAAAATCGGTGTAGCCGATTCCGAGGAGTGCGACCACAAACACCACCTGTAATGATGTTTGTGTTCGAATTCCTCTGAAACGGTTTGACCGATTATTGTGAACGAGTTTTTGTATGTTGGGTAAGAATAGTAAAGTATATTTCATACTGCTAATAGTAATATTGGGCGAGGTGAGGCGGCGAAGCTACCAAAACCGAGCTTATGTTCCATCCGGGGGCGAAGTATGAGAATAGGTCGTAGAGCATATTTAATAGCGCTTATAATAAAAATTGTGCGAGGTGATGAAACCACGTTCATATCCTATCTGAGAGCGGGACATTTGAGTGAGGTGAGGCGGCGCAGCCACCGAAACCGAGTTTCTCTCTCATCCGGGAGAGGGATATTGAGGCGAAGTTAGGCGGCGCAGCCGTTGAAACTGATCATATTTCACATAGAAAAAGAAGTTTCCCAAAGGCGGTAAATTCGCGGGGTCTGCTAGTTTTTTTTATACGATTATGTATTGTATTTGTATCATATTTTTCAAAATTTTTGAAATGACACGTTTCTACTGTCAGTCATTTTTACTGATTTGTATCGGCTGCCTTAATTACCATGCATACAATTTAAACAACACAAAATCTTCATGAACCCATGGCCTACTATTTAAAAATAGTAAAAAATAAGGATTTTATGACTAAAAAAAATATAGGTTGTGATACATCAATGTAATCAGGAAAAAGAATGAAAAACAACTGACGTTAAGATATACAGAGTGTTAAAAAATACCAACAATGGGTCAAATCTCAGAAACCTCGATCCCAACACTTTTGACTACATCACTGGTTTCTACATAAAATTACTAAAAAATTGTTCTATCTTACATGGGTTGGGTAGTGAGATGATAATATCCCACAAAGTCAAACTTTTCGTTTTCATCTTGTACCTCAGAACCAAACGTAATAATTGTAATTATACAGGTTTGGTCATAATGGCTTGGCAGTTGGCACACCAAAATTGCATTTTTAAATGGAACACTCTGTATATTATTCGATATTTCAATTCTTTTCTCAATTTTAAACAAAATTTGTAAGAAGCATACTGTACCAAAATCGTTTCTCGGTTTTGACTTTTGAAAAAAATACTATTTTTTAAAAATTTATTGAATGAAGAACAATATGTAATTAAAAAAATCATGAATTTCTTTTGAAAACCTGTGGTGCTGAAAAGAACCAATTTTGATGTATGTTATTGTTTGTTATGTATCATTAATTATTTTCTTCATTCAATCATTTAATAATTTTTAAAACAATAGCCATTATTTTCAAAACTCAATAACCTGGAAACAATTGAATTTGGGTACTTTATCCTTCTTACAAATTTTGCTTAAAATTAAGCGAAGAATGAACTATCTAATAATATACAGGGTATTCCATTTAAAAAGTCCATTTTTGATGTGCCATGACTTTTCGCTTTGGAAATCAAGACAATTAGCATTCAAATTAAAATCGGCATCGCCGCGTTAGAATCTTCTGTATGGATTGCATTGCCCTATGTTCCTTGTACTGTAAAGTCTAGGTGAGACGGACGGAGATTGATTCTGTTTGTGGTATTAAAAGTTTCACAAAAAAGTGGCACAGAAAGCCGTAAATCTCCATCTTTAAAAACAATTGATATACACTGCAGTCTCAACCTAAATAGGGCACACTGTACTCAGTTTAAACCATGATGCAGTATGGTTCTTATGGGTTTTGATAAAAAACACGAATAGAATTTTTTAAGAAACAGGTGAAATAGAGAGATTTGTACAGGGTGTGCTAATTAAGTATGTCAAAAAAGATTGCTTGGTACAGGGGACTGAAACAAGCATTTTTCTTGTATCGTTTGCGAGCTATGGCCCCAAATGTTCCAAAATTTGCATCTGCTTAATTTTTTACTGGGCAAGCACAACAGATAAACGAATGGAACTTGCGGCTTTAGCTACCTCATTGGGAATGTTCTTTCTGATTTTGAACAAATAATTTCATAATACCTTTCCTAAGATGCCATATTATAAACGGGGGTGTGGAAAAAATGTTGACCTCGATCCAAAATTAGCTTTCGAAAATTCTAAAAAAAATTCCAACAGCAATTCTTGGTTGGATTAAAAAATTGCTTATTTTCGCATCCCAGTGCAGGGTAATTATCTTTTGGGAAAATTTTTGCAAAATTTGAGACTTTCAAACCAGAAGATTAAACCTTCAGTTTATTTATAATAATGCTTGTTTTGGTCCCCTCTATCACCCAATTTTTTTTACATAATTAGTTATTACACCTTGTATGGTACTGCATAACTGCACTGGAGAATGAGCATTGATATGTAATGTGTGTCAGAACCTCAATATCGAATTTTTACCATTACCGATTAGTATTTGATTGATTGATGAAAATGTTTGAAAGAGATGACATTACTAGAAATCTGTGTGGTACGTACACCTCTGCATTTTTACGAATGATAGTTGGAATTTGATAGCTTCTATTGTTTTGGAGTTCTGATTCATACAAAACATGAGAATGTGGATAATTAAATTTTATTTTTTGCAAAAATTTGGTTTGTTTTGTAAATCATATTAGGAACAGAAACAAAAACTAACTCTTACCTGGTAAGGACAATTACAAAGAAAAGTTAAGATGAAAGAGAGGTGGGGAAATATAAATGTACGCAGCAAACAGTAAAGCAGACATAGGTTTGAAATGATGAAAATATAAGTATCAGTTCAATTTGGTTCCACCATGGTAGTCTGCAAACTTGATCAAAACGGAATTCAAAGTTCATTTGTTTTTTCAGTTGAAATGTCAGTGAGAGTTCACTGAGAACTTTTTAATTTGGTGTATGGAACAATTTGCTGGGTACTTTAGTACTACTCAACTTCAATAAATTGGAAACTTTATTTCGCTTTTTTGTTTCACTTCTTTTTTAAATGTAACTTTCATTTTCTATATACATTTATGATTAAATATGATTTAATATTATATTGGCGCTTAATTTTAGTTTCGTTTTATTTTAAGGTAATGTAATATATGCGCTTGCTGAAAACTCACCACATATACCTTATCGGGACTCTAAATTAACAAGACTATTACAAGACTCGCTTGGTGGAAATAGTAAAACCATTATGATCGCAAACATCGGACCTGCTAGTATGAACTATGATGAAACTATAATCACTTTACGATACGCGTATCGTGCAAAATCCATTAAAAATCAACCTATTAAGAATGAGGACGTTAAAGATGCAAAATTACTCGAATTACAACGTGAGATTGAAAGGTTGAAGGAGTTAATTGCTGAAAAAGGTGAAGGTAAACTATTGAGTGATGAATTTTCTTCCACTGCCTCAGATGAAGAAGATTTTGACGGTAGTGACGAAGAAAAGAAAGAAAGAGAGAAAATGTTGGAGGCCGGCAAAATGGAGGTGGACGAGTTAAATAAAAAATTACGCACCTTAGAGAAACAAATGGTTCATGGTGGAAAAAATATCGTCGATAGTGTTAATGAAAATGAAATTAAATTGGAACAGCAAAGGGTACACATCGCTGCGCGAAAGGTTAATGTCAATAATGTTGAATTATAAAAATTGTTCTGTTTAAATTTTAGAAACGAGAAATAGAAATGCAGCAGCAGATTGAGTTAGAAGATGAAACTTGTACAGAGCTTAAGCAGGTTTTTGCAAATCTTCAGCAACAAGTTGAATACAAAAGGGATAAACTGAAACGTTTGTATGGCAAGTTGCAGGGAATGCAACAAGAAATTGACGATAATCATGAAGAGTATTTGAAAGAACGACAAGATCTTGTTGAAACTAATGACGACCTTTCCATGTAAGTGTTTTATATTCTTTTCTTTCGCTTTGATTAATTATTTTTAGGCAACTTCGAAAATCATTAATGGTGTTGGAGAACTTCGTGCCACCCGACGAAAGATCACGGTTAATTGGTTTAATACAATTTGACGAAAATAGTGATAATTGGGTGTTGAAAAGGGAGAAATTGAGATTAAAACCTGGAGATAGGCCCGTAGCTCATAACTACCGACGTCCAATATCAGAGTACACCTTACAAAAGAGTGGTGATAATAATTTTCGTTATCGTGTAAGTAATCGAAATAAAACTTTTCTTAATACATTATTGAGTACATTTCAGAACGAAAACGTGATAGATTTAAGTTTGGATATGCCATTAAAGACGACCACTGATTATAATAGACCTACAATTTGTCCTCAAGTTAAAGCGGCAGTTAAAAATGTTATTAGGAATGATATGGAAAATAACAAAATAGTAATAAAAATTTCGCCTCACGGGTTCTCGATGAAAGGAATTTCTAAGACTGAATTAGAGGGCAGATATAATAAAGCTGCTAGGAATACTGTGGAAGTACGAAATAACAGGTAAGATATGGATATTTTGCCTATTAATGTAGTTACTCAACCAGTGGAATATTCGATGTTTGATATTCTGTTTTAAAAATATTAAAATTAATTTATTTAATGGCACAGAAAAAGGAACTACATACATACATATACAGGGTGGTGCCTAGCGCAACGCAGCATAGGGATTGCAATGGTAATTTCTTTATAGTCAATATCTAGCTCCCCTAATTATTTTAGAGCAAAAGTCCAAATAAGTTTTTTTTAGAGAAAAAAATACTGCATCTGTTCATACTTTTAGTTATAATTTTCCATTTTTCAAGACCGTAGAAATCGACAAAATAAAAAATTACATTTTTATAAATCAGTGATGCTTTGGAATCTTTTAACAAACTACAAGCGCATCGCATCTAAGTTATCGTTGTTTGTTTGACGTCGAACGATTTTCATATATATTATAAGTAATTTTCAACTAACCGACGCAGTAAAAGGCATCTTAGGGTAATGTTTTTTTAGAGAATGTATGCTGCACTGCATCAGATGCTATTTGTTTATCAGAGAGAATCAGAGTACCTACATAATCGAAGAAAAAAAAACTGATTTGAAGCAGATTTGTTCCTAAACTTATATTCGGATTTTCCGCTACTGCAGCCAAAACGTTGAATGTATTGTCGTTTTCCTGATGGTTTTGACGGACATTTTGAACGTTATTGCTCTTGCAGTTCTTTAACTAATTTATAAACAAGTATACATTTAATATACGTCAAAGGCAAATAATGAAACGTGATCGCTGTTTTTTTAGGTAATTCCATGGCATATTTGATTTATTGTAAAATGAACCTTTTTATTTTGTCGATTTCTACGGTTTTGAAAAACGGAAAATTATGAGTAATAGCATGAACAGATTCAGTATTTTTTTCTCTAAAAAAAACTTATTTAGACTTTTGCTCTAAAATAATTAGGGGAGCTAGTAATTGACTATAAAGAAATTACCATTGAAATCCCTATGCTGCGTCGCGCTAGGCACCACCCGGTATAACTACATACATATAAGCTTTTGTGTTATGGCACTGTAAAAGCTCAAAAATCGGTCAGCTCATTTCTAATAAATTAATGATTCATCAATGTTGAAAGATTGTTATTGTATGCGCGTGCCTCTTACTGGTTCTGTATTCTGGGTCTTCTAAGAGGAAATTGTCAATTTTACTTTCTTGTTCACTATGTTTTCCAAACTTTATTAAACAATTGCAAGAGATGTTACAACATGATAAGATGTTGGCTCATATGGTCTAAAAAAGAGGTTCAACAATGTCGTCTTGGATCTGGATACTCCCGAGTGACCACAGGTCGTATTCGTGCACTTTCGAGAATATTCAGAAATTTTCGAGATTGTTCTGGAATATTCATTTTTACAAAATATATTATACTAAGTATCTACAGAGTGTTTCATGAGTAATGGTCCATACGGTAATATGTTATAGATTTGTTCATTTTAAGCAGAAAAGTTTTTAAAAACATGTGCTCCATTCGCAAAGGTAACTGAGATACAGCCAGTTAATTCATAAACTGATATCACGGTGTTGTGTCATTTATGTTTGACATTTAACATTATTTTTGTTGACGTGTTAACTAAGTTGTTGATAATGTCACACATGTTGCCTCATGGAGAATATGCTGATATGGTGTTTTGTTATTGTTCCTGCAATGGAAATGCCCATGTTGTTCGCCGTAACTATAGGGGACGGTTCCCTAACCCAGTTAGGCGGTGGGATATTCAGAACCTTCCTTTGAATTCCGAATTTTGATATTTTATGGACACATGTAAATAAATCAGTTTATGCATTAATTGGTTGTATCTCAGTTACCTTTGAGAGTTGAGCACATGTTTTTAGGAACTTTTCTGCTTAAAATGAGCAAATCTGTAACATAACATATTCACGTACTTATGTACCATTCCTCATGAAACCCCTGTATACTAATTACAATACACCAAAGACCGAATCAATTTTTTAATAGTTATGTTTATTAAAGACACTAAAACTCATCAGAGTTTTAAATTGTTTATTAACATACATAAAAAAGAACAATTTGTCAGTTTCAGTCATAACAAATACTGCTCCTTCAAAACAAAACTCCGATAAAAAACTCATTTAAAAATGCAGAAAATTTGATGATGCAGATTTGATATCTGAATATGATTTTTTAAATTAAAGGTGTGGCCATGACACTATTATAATTTCTTCTAATTTCTTTTCCAGTAATACCATATGGTATAATATATGTACCGATCTTTTAACATTCTCTGGTTTATGAAAATTGCACTTTCGCCCCCCGCCCCCCCTCCCCGTTTACCTGATTTGTTGATTGTATCTGATCGATTTTGAACCATTTACAGTGCATGACTATTAACCACTGAATAAGGTACAAATATAAAAAGTCTTCATAAAAGGTTTGAACAGTATCTATATTCATTATGAGGGTTACTATTTATGTATTGAGAATAGAAAAAATAAACAAATGAATTTTGTCAAAAATATTTTTATTGCTTTTCAAAATAATCGCTTTTAAGATCAAGTCTTTAAAACATGCGCAACGATTTTAAGGGCACGACACACTTTTGCATGCACTTTGTCCAGTCGAAAAATGGTGGCTCTGAAACATGCATTTTGAAGGCCTCAAGTGCTTTTTCGAGCGATGAAAATCGTTGTACACGCAGTTTATCTTTAATTACTGGAAGCAAGGACAAGCCATTGGGTGGCAACTCTGGGCTGTATGGCGGATGACTCATCAATTCGATCTTTTGCGTGTCCAAGTACTCGTTTGTTGCACCCACCGACACGAGCATGTGTCAACAACGAACTACTTTGACGTTTTCATTCTGTGCACGAGCGAAATTTTCAACTCTGCAACTCAAATAGTACGTCAAAAATATCAAACTTTGCGATAGCGCAGTCGGATCACACGTAGCAAATTGTTAATTCTCACTGCATAAATAGCAACCCTTGTAGACTTTCTACGGATTCAAATTATGGTTGCGTAACTATTTTATAACTTTTAGCATGACATTTTATCATTTACAATAATTCACAACTAACAAGAATAATTTTTAGAATTAAAACAGCTGCAAAATCAGCAAAACCTACTTATTAGTATGTTCCATGCCAGCCGACACTTAGAGAAATAATATATAATTATGCTAAATAGCATGAGCAAGATGATGATATTAGTGCATTTAATCACAGCTTTTTACTATAGGCTTTTCCACTTGCACAATGCAGTATGAGTTTTACGTCTTTACATTAATGTATGTACTGAACATGATACAATTCAACTCAATTGCACATTTTCAGACTGTGCCACTACTGATGTCAGACTCAGTTTTTAAAAATCATTTACTTTTTTATAATTTTTAAGGGATTTTTGTGTAAAAGTTTGTTATATACTTGGCGTCAGATCTTTCGGGTTCTAAAAATGTTCTTGCACATGATAAATATGAAATCACTTTATGTGTCTTACAGAATTTGCATTGCAAACTTCTGCATCAGCAGAGACTACAATACCGTTAAAAAATCGAAACTCATGTTTGATTTCCAAAAAATTATGATTAAAAGGTTAGCGTTAGAGCCTAATTATTATCGGATTAGTGAAAAGTTTAGATAATTTAGTCCTTAATTATTTTTTATCTAGTTTATTTAAAAAAAAAATAAAGAAATTCTCATCATCAAAAAAATTACAATCAGTATTCATATGTCACTAACCGGCTTTTTGAATTATTTTGTGATACATTTTATAAAGACAGGGATATTTATTTTTTAAATAAGGAACTTTTAATAGCAATTTTTTTTCAGCATTATGATTATTTACCCTAATCATTAATTCTTAACAAAGTTACCTACTTGAGCTGGGATACCGTTTATGTATCTGTATTATTTTGATTGTAATCTATTAGAATAGTGCCTATTAAGGCTCATACTGCATTGGAATAATGGATCAGCTATACTTACTGTGTTTGTTTCAGCATAAAACGTAATAAGTATTAAATTTTAGCTTTTTGCATGACTACCAGTTTTTTTTTAAAATCATTAATACGTTTTAGAAATATTGTATTGCCAGTGTTACCTTACCGTACACATATAGTGCCATTCAGGAAAATGTATCCTAATTGCTATGATTGTGTAACTGCTCGTAGAAGTTGGTTTATGTATGCATAGTTCTAATATTAGTGAAACAAGAGTAATTCTTATTTAGAATTTTACTATATATTTCAAGATACTGTTGTAAAGTACATACGAAGCGATTTTTTGCATTTGCAGTACTTTGTTGATTCATTTTCCTGATTTATCATCCATGTATGTGCAACTGTGGATTTTGGATGTTGATTAATAACATAATTTAACATACAGGTGATAATCTGAACTTTTGGAAATATTACAGAAGTTCGTTAATTTGGAAATAAGTAAAATTAACATAAATCAACTTCTACCTGCATAATTATATTCTTTTATGTGTTAAGTGTTTGACAAAAACCTGGACAAAAAAGTTACCAGATGGCTTATCGTTCCATGAATTTAAAGTTCAAATAAATTGCATTTTTTTATTATAGGTACAATGTATTGTATAATAGTTTTTAAATAAGATCAGATCAAATGTATTTTTAATGATTGAGAGTGATTCGCGTTATGTTTTGTATTTATTTTGAAATTATGGTTTTGTTTTGTAACATAATATGTATATTTTAATCTTGTTTATGTTTCAGTATTATGAAAGTTTACCATTAAGATTGCACAATGGCATCTACCAAGTCGATCCTAGTCCTATAATTTTAGTGATGTGATAATTTGGTTATATCATTTATTTTTGATTATAAAATGATCTATTTTATATTTGTCTTATGTGATAATTTATAAACGGGAATAAATTAAAAAGAAAGGCTTAATGTTAAGATGACTTTTTATGCAGAATATAGATGAAAATATGTTATGTGCTTATGCATTTAACTTTGTGCATCATTTATTTAGTAGAATTTTGTAAACTGGCAATGGTATATTATGTTAGTGGAGGGTATGAAGAGTTGTAACACTATCAGACACATATGTTGCTGGTATCCTTTGCATTGCGTCTGATAACTAATTTTTGTTACTTCCTTATGACTGACGTTTTGCAAGACAAGCATCCTAGATTAACTGAGAACATAACAAAAATAGGAAGCTCTCAATTGTAGATCACCTTTGACTCTTATTACTGATCCTGCAAATCAGGATTGAAATGGCCTTAGCATGTTACCAGATGGTAAATATCATACGCAATTTTAACTTAAATCAGCTATTACTCTCATTGAAGCACACAGAGAAAGATTGGCCAGTATTGGCCCATAGGTAACGTGCGCACTTGACTAATTTTGAATTTTTTAAACGGTGCCAAACAGCTGGTTCCAGTAACGTCTTCGGTGTACCAGAAACGTCAAACTAAACGTGCAGGTTATCTGTCAAAAAACGATATTTTGCGTTATCTTATGGAAAAATAACGTTTTCTACATATAACCTGCAAGTTAATAAGTTTAACGTTAGTGATCACAGGACTGAATGTTTACGTTCGTAATTAAATACTTTACGTACTATGTTTTATCGTCTTGTGTAAACTAAATTTTACGACACCACTCGCAAAACCCTGGTAGAGTAGTTCACTTCAAAGATCCGGTGTGTTACATCCATTGGCAGCTCCTTGTTGTTTTCATTCGAGGACTCATAGCATAGCACTACTGGATGATGAGGAATAAGTATCACATCGGGTAAGTGGAATTTGGGTTACTTACCGTAACTAAACTGATTATTTAATTTTTAAATATATAACTTTTCGGTTTAGAATCGGGATTGGAACCGGAACCAATTGGATTTAAATAAGCGCTTCACTTAGAACCGGAACCGTTATCTAAGAAGTTGTGATAACCAGAACCGATACCGGTACCGTTATTATTAGTGCCACCGGAACCGGTATTTTTCGGTTCTTAAGCATCTAGAGAATTCTAAAGTCAGCATATCATACTTTCTGGAAAGTACACGTCATATTCGCTCTAATTCCTTATCGCCGATGACTGATCCTTTATCGACTTGATGACCAAAAATAAAATCTTGCCTTCTGAACTACGTTAAAAGTTGTAGAATTTGCATTTTATAGTGAGCGAAATTGAATCAAAGACAGTAAGAGAGTTGAAGAGTGTATATAGGAAAGCAATAGTTGAAACTACTGCTACGAAGAAAATAAAAGTAGAAAAAGACAGGCAGTTGACAGAGGTGAAACGAAATGCGTAAACTAAAAATAAGTTTCAATTAAACCTAATAAATATATCTATGAAAAGAATATGTAGGTACACACTTTAATTTTGTGTATTAATTATTTTCTATTAGTAATTAATAATAATTTATATTTTTTAATAATAATTTTATTTATTTATGTGGGAACTCTTAAAACCGAAAAAAAACTGGAACCCTTAAAAATAATTCTACCTAGAAAGTGCGGAACCGGAACCTATATATTTCATATGGGATATCTGATTTCCCCATATTTTGTTGTTAGTTTGATTTAACCAGCAAGGCCATGCATTTTTCCATCTTGTTTTTAACAGAAGGGTTTTATTGGACTAAAGATGAGTCACTTGTTGTACAGCTACCTTTTTCTGTTACCTGTTTGTACTGTACCCTAACCTGTTCTTTGTTTTGCAACTTGCTTTTAACCTGTTTTTTTATATATGTTACCGGCATTCTGCGAAATATTTTGCAAAATGCCTAGGCATTTCGCGAAATGACGAATGCAACAGGCAAAGTAAGAAACGGAACTGCAGTTCGTACTTTGCCTGCCTGTATTTAGGGATTTCGCGAAATGCCTAAACATGCAGGCAAAGTGCGAAGGCTTCGTCATTTCCCACAGATTGTGCATACAGCGTTGCCATTGGATGGTAAAGGACGCGACGGTACTCGCTAAATATTGCGCTCACGTTTAAGCCTCAGTTACACGAGAATAGTAACTCGTGCGAGCCACTAAAACCGAGTGTTGTAAGTATCGTGTAAACAACCATTCCAGTACTGGTTTCTAGTACTCGTTCCAGTGTTCCAGTCGAGTGAATAGAAACAGTTTCTATTTAGTAGAACGAGTTGCCCCCTCTACTTTATACTATCTTCCATTACTTCCCTCGTGTAACATAGTGTTTCTAGTGAAAAAGACGGACAGTCGAGTAGAAATTAAGACATCTTCCAAAATTGCTACCAGATTCTCACATAATAATTTTATCGACATTTTCAAAGCTTGTTTAAACTTTTTAGCTAGAAAAACACGCTTTCTACCATTCATTTTACACGAAAATCAACGCCACTGGAATTGGCTACTTGAAAGCAATTACTAATACCGTGTAAATTGTACCAGACTAGAAGGTCGCTACTCGTGCGAGTACTCGGTTTTAGTGGCTCGCACGAGTTACTATTCTCGTGTAACTGAGGCTTTAGACTGCACTTCTTATATGGGTTTTCTGTTGAGTCACGCTTTGGATTTACTGTGGAGAATATACCAAATGGGGGAAGGTACCAACGCGACGGTTTTACGTTTGGCACAGCTGTACGCGCAATCTGTGGAAAATAACCGAGAATTCCCACTTTGCCCGAATGTTTATGCATATCGCGAAATCACTAAAGAGAGGCAGGGGTAGTGCGAAGTCGAGTTCCATTTCTCACTTTGCCTGCTGCATTGGTAATGCAAAATGCCGGATTTCGCAGTTTGTCGGTAACATATACATGTTCTATGTTTGTTTGTGGTTATTTTTGTTCCCTCTACCACACTCTCAATTGTACACTGTGTTTCTAGTCTTCTCCGCTTCTACCATCGTAGACATACGAATGAGAATACGACAATACGGATATAAGTGCCACCATGCTCAGAAAAGGCCCGGAAAATATGCTTAATTATTAATTATTCTGTTTTGACAGTTGACGCTTTACGTTATTTTAGTTTACACTTTGCTTCTTGTATTTGCTTTATTTTACGTTTTCCGCCTCCAGTTTTATACAAACTCGTCTTTTTCAAGACGCATAGCTTGTATTTACGATCTGATAAGGTATGCAATTCCCTTAAAGTGTTTAAATTTTGCATCAGAATGTACGGTCTAAATTTCTAGCGCCCTCGGACACGCCCTGTCAGAGACTGTCTGAGCGTGGTGCCACTTTATGTCTAATAAATCCATTTTTTTTTTACATACATATTGTTACATCCTGTATACAATGCTAGGCTGTTGTGTCCTTTGGCACTATCACTTTGTCTACACAAGCTAGGCAACCTTTTAGACTTTAATGTTGTCAAGCGACTTAACCTCAAAGATAAATTGTAAACAAACCACCTCCAACTATTATGCATCTCATTATCATCTATTATCTAATTACGTGTCGAGACAGTCAACGCACTTACAAATTTTATTAATGCTTTATACGTAAATATCTAATTTGTAATGGATTACAATGAAATATATCAGTTGGCTGCAATATTAAGGGAAAGTGGTGACAAAGTTCTCGATTGCTCCAGTAAGCTGTCGTTGTCTTCAAACCTTCTGTGTATGTTAAACAGTTCGTTTGTGTTACTGAGTGAGCAACGTGATGTCTTTAATTCTAGTTTTCAAGTCCTGAACAACACTAATATTAATACGGAAATATTTAGAGATCTACAGTTTTTGTACGATTTCATTCAAAGAAGTGTTAGCTTAAAGTTAATTAACGACACACTCGTTAATTCTATAAATGATGCGGTAGACATCACAAAGTTTAAAAATTTGCGGTTTTTGGAGTTGCAGAAAGTTGACGTAACATCAATTATTGGCCTACAAACTGTAAGAACTCAGTTGCAATATTTGATTTGTGTGCGTTCCATCTCTTCTATAAAAAATGTGTTGGAGAAGTGCGGTGGAGACGAAAGTGAAGGTTTTGTTTGGTGCGAACTGAAAGAGGCCACATTTAGTCATAATAAATTGAAGGAAATAGACTCCAGTTTGGAATTAGTTCCATGGTTACACACTCTCGATTTAAGTTACAATATGATTAAAGATGCCCGTCCGTTAAATTGCCTTCCAAACTTGAAGTATATTAACTTGAGCTACAATCATCTAGAAGTAGCACCATCGTTTACGGGTCAAATATGCACACGAATTCAAGTACTAGGTTTAAGTAACAATTTTATTGAGGATGTGTGGGAATTAACGGCGCTCACAAATTTGTGTGAATTAGATTTGAGTAATAATTGCCTCTTGAAGCACGAATCTCTCGCTCCACTTTCATCTTTAGCAGCTCTGCAATGGCTTAATCTTGAAGGAAACCCGTTGAGTTTTCATCCTCATCATAGGAGACGTACTGCTCAGTTGCTGCACATCAATACTGGCACAGTCCGTTTTCTTCTCGATAGAACCTTGTTGAGTAAAGAAGAACGAAGGATGGTCGGTTCGGTGCCTCTAATAACGCATTCCTTACAGAGGTCATATGTGTCATCCTTCTGTTCCAATGTTAGCGAACACACTGTAATTGCCTCAGAGAGACCTCATCGTGTTAGAAGTGCAACTATTATATCGGAAAGTAATCAGGATTCAACCTTGGAAAACAGTTTTGCTTCTGTCACATCACTTTTAGCATCCGTGGATCACTTGGATACAAAGAACAAAATTGAGCAACTACGGCGCGAGTATGGAGAAGCGTGGTTACAATCTCAAGGAGGAGCTGCATTGTTGCAAGATGCTCTGGGATTAGAAAGAACAAAAATTCCACTTTCTTCCAGTCCATATGCGAAGGAATTCTTATTACACGCAAAAGATACCAAATTATCCGAAAAAACTGAAGTTCTGTCTGAGAAATCTACAAATAACACTTTTACTACAGCAACTGATTCGGTGGCATCAGAAAACAACAGTTTATATGCAGGTGAACAAGTTGACTCGTCCGAGGTGGTTGTAAGTGAAGAGGAGGAGGATGATGACGATGAAGAGTTGGGTGAAGGAGAAGAGAACTTGTATCTTGCTAATTTAAAAGACAGTTTGGAACCGATATTTATTGTTTTAACAAATACTCATATATTTGAACGAGAATGCGATACCAGCAAAGAAAAAACCAGATGGCTTTTGGAAACGTTGCAGAGTTGTGAACTTCTAGGCGACGACTGTACTGATATTCGTCTTACATTTGATACAGTTAAAAGAGATCGACGCGAACGAGAGTATGTGCTGGAAGCTGATGAATCCACAAGACTGTCTTGCGTTTTGAATAATATACTCACCAATAGATCACCCTTGGAACAACTAATTGTGTACCAATGTATGAAATGTTCGACACAATTTAGTAATAAAAAGAAACGAGGCCGCTCTACGCCTGTACTGGAATGTCCCGCTTGTCATAGCACAGTTGTCATCGAACATGATGAAAACGAGTGAGTTAATTTAGCTTATAGGATGTTTTTTAGTGTGCCATTAAAAAAAAACGCATGTATAAAATAAAAATTGTATTTGTTGTATGTAATTACAATATATTTTGAACACTTTCTGAGCTGCACAACTTTTCTATGTGATTGAGCATTGGTTATTAAGGCAAATATTTATAATTCTATACTATACAAATAAAAGTTTGTTATAAACTTCGGTGCTGTTCATCCCTAACTTTTTTGAGATCCATCGTTGCCAGAGTGTTCACCACATCTATCGCTACACTTTCTGATCTGAAACAAAAGTCATTAATAGGACTTATTTGGTGCACTGTGTGGGATAGTAAGATTTTCTTAAGTTTGCACGCCCATCATTGGTGTATTACATCCGAATTAAGTATGTTTACATCGAGGTTTACATAGTACAGTGGCACTACGTTCAGAAAGTCCCTGACAGGGCGTGTCCGAGGGCGCTATATAGAAATGTTGACTGTACATTCTCATGCAAAATTTGATTCTTTAGTAAATATAAATAAGTAGGCCACGCGCTATATGAGTTGCATAAGGGGAAACAGTAAAATTATTAATTTTATTTCTACAAAACTTAAACACATTTAAGATGTTAGATTTTGAACACAATTTACAATTCTGATGCACTTTTGCTGTGTAAATATTGACAGTTATTGAAACAATCACATTGAAATTAATACCGCTCACATTGACTAAATTAACACACAACCAAAGAGTAACTAATAATAAGAGATGCAGCGTATCATTAAATTGTGAAATACGAGGTGAAATAGTTTGAATTTACTCAGCACTGGGAGGGCGATACCCTGGCCCTCTAGTAACTAAGTTGAATAACTAAAATGTACCGTAAAGTTGGTGAGATTATAGGTACCTGCAGCAAAACGGTAACATTATTCTTGGCGATGTTGCCAAAGATACTCTCCATAATTTCAAAGCTGTGTGGGCGAGAGTCAGGTTACTCAAAGCAATGAGTATCAAACTAACATAACAACAACATAAATTGTCTCGCACTTCCCCGGTTATCACCTTTCAGTGCGATCATTCTATAAATAAAAAATATAACCTGCCACCTGTTTAATTCTTTAATGATAATATAACTGTCCTATACTTACTCCCATTATTTACATAAACTCTGCTTTGTACTTGTGAAAACACATACGCAATTTGAGAACAATTCATAATTTTTTTAAACTCATTACCAAAGGCATTTACAGAGAAGTTGCCTTGTCGTTCTCATACATCGAAGGCGCGAATAGCTACTCGTCATTTAGGTATAGTTTGCACCTAGGTGAGGACCATTGAATTTATAACTGTCAAATTCAATGCTGCGACCTTTTTCTACTTGGTCAGATGAAACAAAATTTAATTGTACAACACGATCAAGGGATAGGTGCGTTTAGTACGTCCATACTTTCTTCCAGATCATTTATAATTTGTAATACTGTCTGTCTGTCTCTCCGTGTACACGATATCTTTGTTTAGAAACATCCAATTGCTTTGAAAAATGGTACACATAACACATGTAACATGTTCTTAAATAAAAACTACTGTTTTTCAGCTACGTAGTTACAGTCCAAAAACAATTTCGAGGATGGTTGGGTATCAGTTATATCGGATTTTTATGTTAGTTTTTAGTATTAAAATTTTGCGATGGCTTACTGTGTATTTGACGGATGCAACATCCTGTATACTTATGGAAATGTGCAACTTTTTGATTTACCTGACCATGCTACACAAAAAGAATTTGGGGGTCTGTTAACGACCATTTTGAATGTCTGGCTAAAGAAAGAATGCGCAAGAATCTCTATAGCTAGTGCGACTTTGATTTCATTTATCCCCATTATGGATGTTGCAAAAAAATCTTGGCATTCGGGGGGACTATGGTTAACGCTAGCGTCCCATTACTTCAAATAGCGAGCGCTGTGTTCATCAAATCTAGTAGGTACCACAACACTTTGGGTTCAGCTTCAGATCATTGGTAGAGCAAAATCTTCATTGATTCATTAATTTCGGCGCGGAAACTTTAAAATGAGTTGGCTTTATGCAAAATAACATAACACAGAGACAGATCGACATCATCGAGATTTTGTTTGATCCGGATTCCTGGTGCTTCAAAACGTGTATTCTCGTAAAGTGTAGGGAGTGATTTAGATTTTCCATTGTGTTAATTCCATAGAGGAAATACAATCATACCGAATGCCGAAATCATAACAGTAATCCTTTTTCAATATGCAGTAGTAAATTTACCTAGGTACGTAGCAAAGAATACTTAATCTTTGCTACGAATAAAATTAAATTATGTACGAATATGAAAATAACGAGTTCAAAGGTCGCTTTGCAAAATAATATTAAATAAAGATGCATGAAGTTATGGCATAAGGCAACATTGCAAATGAGAACCTACAAGGCATCGTCATCGAGGTTAATTAATTAATAATATTTCATGTGGTTAGGCAACACATTTAACAGATAACTATTTCAATGAAATCTATTCCGTTGTACTTCTTATTATTAAGTATTCTTTGACACAACCTTTAACTTTTTTCGTTCATTATCGTCACTTGACCACTCATCTTCATTGGAACTGCCGGACCTCACAATCACTGCAATCGATAATAAGAATGTAGGAACGAGCAGTGTTGGATTGTGGTTGGTATCCCATTACACCAACGATCCTCTACAGTATAACATCCACAATGCCGCATTCCATTTGAAATTATTTCACATATTATATTTTGAGGTTAAAATTTTTTTACACATTTTTTATTTTATTGCCTTTATTTTATGGTGGGCGGAGTGTTAGCAATTTGCTACTCTTCCCACTCAACGGTAGGTGGTTTTTGAGTGCGACCTCCATCTTGCATTTTTGTGATAGGTCCTTAGAAAGCTTATTTTTTTCTCTTTCCTACGACCTTAATCATGAATAATGCTAAATTAGAAAAAACTTGTCAAATGGTCCATACTACAATAGTTGTAAGGAAACTTATTATCTTAGATCATATAAATAATGCATAGTATCCGGTAGAATACCGAGTAGGTTACACACTGCCCTGGCGTGTTATTTCCCAGGAACATAAAGAGGTTTAAGTGTTGTAGTTCACACCAGACGCTTACTGGTCTTACGAGTGGTCTTATGTATTAACAAATCTGTTTTAAAATTGGATTTGTACTTGGCGACAACATAACAACGGTCACATTTTAAATCCTTGGCAGATTATTATGTTTGGTGAAATCGCACTGTGCACACTTTAAATCCTTGGTGACCTTGTATGTTAATAAACGAGTTTTATAATAATATTTATCGTTCATTTACTGCTTTCCATTTGGGTGAAAGAGGAGCTCTAAGCTGTACTGTGCACGATGCCCTGTGTTCCTTTTAAGAAAGCTTCGAGCTCTGACGCGCCCGAAATTGGATTTCCCTTGTCCCCTCATGCACCACCTATTTGCTTGGGGCTTGTAACACTTTTGTGGTTATTTACGTACTGTGAATGTCAATTCAAATGTGTTAAAAATGAACAACTTGCAAAATGAGCTGCTCCGAACGAACTGCACCAGAGCTTCACGCACTCAAATGGAAAGCAGTAGTATATATAGTCACACTGGATACATTTTAAATTCTTGGTAGTGATCTACTTACGGTGCAAAATATATCTCTGTCTGTGTTAGGTATGTTGGCACACATGCTTCTTATTGGAAGTAAATGGGAGGCTATATCTATGTATGTATGATTTAAATTCTAACCTTATTTAACACCTGCTAATTGCATTTTGTTAATTTTGACGTTCTGGTAATTTTGAGGTTAATTTAAAGGTCTCTAATGTAAATTGCAATATATTAGCTAGCTAAGCGTATTCTAATGACATATCACATGACCTATGTATCAATTAAAAAAATTCAAGATGGCGGTCGCACTCAAAAACCACGTGTAAAAAACCATTTTTTTAACCTCAAAATATGTGAAATAATTTCAAATGGAAGCGTACTAATTTTCATGTCGAAATCTCAATCGATTTAGATTAATAGCTTTGGTTCCTTCTTTAATAGTGACCTTGTATATAATTGAGTAACAAATAATATGTTATACATTATACACAAGATAACGATTTTACCAAACTCAGGAGAACTACAGGTCCGCCTAACCATAACGAATAGCCAATACACTTCTGTCACTAGTAAATACCTCTTTTTCATGTTAATAAATATAGTGTTTGAGATAATAGGATTACCTCAGTATCTCTTTTATTTGGCGAGATTCGTAAAAATCGCCAAATATAATTTTGTATGCGACGTTACGGTCTATCCGATGGAATATCAAACTTTTCCAGTATCACTTCCAGTTAAACCAAAAATCTACAACATTTGTTTTTCAAATGCAATGCCTATGTTTTTTAAGATCTTTGAAGAGAGCAATCAATTTGCTGTATGACAACATAAAATATGCATATGGTTGATCTACACAAAAAATTATATCATACCACGCATCATTTAAATGTGAGTGAAAAAATTCGTTACGCCGCTTGTGAGCAAGAGGAGAAGAGTGCACTTTCAAATTTGATTTTAATAGCCCTTATGGACAATTTATGCCTTAACGAGAATAAAAACCTGAAATAATTTTTAATTTCTGATCGAATGACAACAATACAAAGTCTGTAAGTGGTGTAGATCTGGAGCCTTTGTGATGCAGAGAGACAGACATTACGAGCCCAAAAGTTTTTTGAAAGTGCACTAAAAATATTGTCTGCACAATGACACAGAAGTTGTTCTTCTGGTCCCAGGAAGCGGCCATATCTTCGATCGCCCTGGAATACATCCACTTTCTCGCCTTGGTACACAAAGTACGATTTAGTGTCATACAACCACCGCTAGGGGGCGAAACAAGCATGATTATTTTACAGTGACTATAGAGACAGTGGCGACAATAGAGTGTCTAATTTTTGATTGGTCGTTGAGATCGGCCGCCATTTTGCGTCAAATTTCACGTGTTTCCGGTAATAGTTACGCTCACGCGCATTCCCGCGCTTCTATAAACGTCACTGGTTGACAAATTTGAAGGACAGGTGCCATGATATTCCTACAAAAAATAGTACCATGACAGATGACAGCCTGACATTAGCGACTTCTGCAGTCAAGTGCCAGAGGCAGACGATAAAAAATTTGTGTTTGGATGGCCGTGAATTCAATACCTAATTGTATTTCCGCGTGCATTGGAGGACAAAGGCATCGAAAAATAGCTGAAAACGAATGTGGCGGAACCTAATATGTGTGACAATGTGGCAGCAATTGAGGATATTGTTGTGAAACGCAATACCATATTCGACTCGCAGTGCAATAGCCCATCGAACAATTTCTATGAGTTGGATTCAGCGAAGAGATTATGTTGACGAGGCAGAGTAACACGTTCAATTGAAAGGATGGTTTTCAGAAAGCAGTTGATGGAATCTGGACCATCCACTCAGGCGGAGCTGTGGAAGTTGAAAGATATGATGCTGAACCCACTGATGTGTGACTTGTGGGATGATCAAAAAGTGTTTTCAATTAGACTTACTCAATGGTAGCGAAAATCATAATTATACGTCTTTTGGTAATAAATTGATTGGAGAGGAATTTTGTGTTGTATTTAATAAGTGTAATAATCCGTTCTTCTTGATATTACTGTCTTTTCATTTCCTTCACCTGCAAGAAAACGTTTAGAAAATAGTCGTTCATGCCGTAATATGTGTAAGGTAAGCACAGCGCGGGTATTTTGACTGCTCCCTAATATGATATTGCGGCGTATGCCACACATGCCTACGAGTGTTGCCAACTTTTTGACGCAAAATGGCGGCCGAACTCCTATTGTCGCCACTGTCTCTATAAAGTCACTGTAGATAATTTCTAAACTTCGTGACTGAAATGCCAAATGGAAAGATATACAATGTGTTTAAATTGAAGTTGGCACTTGAATTAGAGCTATTATGTATTATTATTTTCCAGCATATTTTGCCTATTTCTTCTCCTGTTTAAAGTATCGGTCGCACACAATCTTTGCCTAAAAAACTTTGGTCACTACTGATCCTTTAATTTCATTTTATTGACAGTTTTTTTATGAATACAGGCCGTTCCATTTAAGAAAAAGTTACTTTATAGAAAATCTAGATAACCTGATGTGCAGTTGTTTTACTGATTTGACCATTGCAATTGTATGAAAAAATTTGCTAATTTAACCAACTCCGCAACTGCAATAATAACAAGCTTAGCAATATACTGCCGCCTTCAAAATAGTATTATCATAATAATTACGAAATTGGAAAACAAAATACTCTCGTGTATTTTTTTTATTTTGAAAAATAACGGGAGGGATTTTCAAAAATGTGGTGTTTTAAAAGTCGATATACTACTAGAGATTTCAATAGCGTGCCTGCAGTATTTAGCGTTATTCATGTTTGCCAGATGGCGTTTTGGTTTAAAGACGAAGTCATAGATTTTAACCACTCATTTCTCCAAAAATTTAAATAGAACTGTATTAGTCTAACTTTTGAAAATATTATTTGTTTTGCCCCCCCTGTGTAACTAAAAATAATTGTTAATATTTCGTCTTGACAACAATTATACAACAAAATTGTCTATATTTACTACCTGAGCTACAGCAGGGTGCCATTCTTATTTAGCTACCTGGTATAAGTTTCCCATTGGCGATAATTATACAAAACTAAAAATAAAATCTGCAACATATTTTCTGGGCTATATCTGTGCAAAGTTCTATATCATTTATCGAGATATACTCACCAGCAATTGGTATTTCTTAATACACTGTTTCATTCAGCATAGGTAATTTAAACCAGACAGTGAAAGTTAATCATTTTGCTAAACATCAAACGTCATTCATACAAATTGCGGGTGAAAAATTGTTTGAAAACCTCTAATGACCCACTCATTGCTCAATTAGTTCATTAGTCTTATACTTAACTGATGTCGTATAATTACCCATTATTTGGCAATCAGTTAATTGATTAACCATTAGTCAATCCACCAATTATTACACTAATACCTTACCTAATATTTCCTAAGTCAGAACAAATGACTTCTATGCTACTCTGACTAGGATTGCTGATTATTTCAATATCACTCTCATAGTGAGCTGCCTTCTCCTTTTCATTGCTCATAATTGATGTGGCTGATCCTGTGTAAATTGAATGTTTCAACTTTGACAGATATTATACAAGAACGAACCTATACTTAGTTGTGAAGCTGACATTGGCCTATTTACGTTGCCGATTCCACTATCTTGCATTCCCAAGCAGTCGGCGAGCCTGCATTTCTTCTTTTCGTTCTCCTTATGTTCAAAATCCATTTCAGATTTTATAGTAGCTAGCGAACTAGTGCTCGATTCCATATCCGATGACACACCCGTGTCTCCAATGCTAAGATTTTTGCATTGCATTCGCATGACAGTATTCTCACTTCCGAAAGACTCTACTGATGGCAAATGAGATCTAGTGGAAGCCATTACGTAACGTACTGAACCAATCACTTGCCTTTCTCCTTTGTTTAGCTTTTTATTTTCCAACATAAAATCTTGATTCGCAACATTAAAATGTAAATAATATGCCGTATTCATTCTATGACAAGGGTGAAAACTTAACGGGTTCCCAACCAAGTTTAAGTATTTTAATAAGGACAAATTCGCTAAAGGTAATAATCCCGAATGTTCCAATAAGCAATTGTTGCTCAGGTCTAATTCGCTCAAATTAATTAATACTGCTAGTTCGTCGATGTTTTCTATAAAATTATTACAAAGTACAAGAATGCGCAGGTGGCTGCATAATTCTCCCGAAAATGCAGGTACAGTTTCTAGTTGATTATAACTTAGGTTGATGTGTTTCAAGTTAGAAAGGCAATTTAGTAATTGGGCGTTATGTAAATGATTGTGACTAAGATCCAAGGTGTGTAAACATGGAGCATATTCGAGACTATGATCTAAAGTATCGATGCTATTGTAACTGAAAACTGCTTCCTTTAATTCATTCCACATAAAACCTTCACTGTTATCAGCACCGCAATATTCAAGTACTTCTTTGACTCTACGCAAACTTCGTACGCATATTAAATATTTCAGTTGGTGTCGAAAAGTGTGCAAACCTTTGATTAAATTGAGGCTTAACCTTTGCACTTCTAACAAACGCAAATTCTTAAAAAATCGTATATCGAGTATCTTCTCATTATTCCAAAAAGCACCATCCGGCAGTATTTTTAAGGCAAACGTTTTCTGTAGGAAATCATACACAAATTCTAATTCGCTATGATTTCCATTAAATACGTGAAAATTATGATTAAACATCTGACGTTCATTCCATACATTTTCCAATGAACTGTTGAGGTTATAAAGTAACGAGGCTGATAAAGATAGTTTACTAGAAGCGTCTAAAATCTTATCACCATTTTCTCGCAGCAACGCAACTAGTCCATTTAAATTGCTGCATGGAAAGGCCATTTGTTCTAAAAAAAAATTGTTTACAAAATATTTGAAGTAAGCATCAGTATCACCTTAAATAAATAACGAAAATTTTAGTGGATAATCAGGAAAATTCATTAATTACTTCAAGTGGTGACATAATAAATTAGAGAGCAGTTAATGTTCTTTGTTTCTATTTTGTTATTAAACGTCATTTTAAATATATCAGATGATCACATTTTTAGTTATTTTTTTTGTTGGAATGAATTAATGAATTCCCCTAGCCATTCAAAGCTATGTGAAGATAGCAACGGAAAATTGGCAATGAACTACGCACTATAGAGCGGCACACACATATATACAGGGTGTAGCACCTAAGACCCCCTCGGATCATAATTCCTTTACCATAAAAGATTCCGAAAAAAGTCCTAGAGCAAAATTGTACACATTTATCGTCGCGTCGCCATATTTCTAAAATATTTTTGATCACCATGTGGACTAAATAACATCGGAGACTGTACAACAGGAACCAAATGGAAGGTGAAGGAGGAATTGTTAAAAAGGTAAGTTACACCCAGGGTAAAGCAGAACATGTTCTCAATGTATGATCTTAAAGAATTAGTTGGAGTAACTTTCCCGGATGTCGTAGGCGTAGTCGGTGCAGGAAAATGGCCCCCAGAAATATATTTCGAGAGAGAAACAGGAAAAAAGATAACTCTCAATTCCAAGACGAGAAGACTGTTGTACGAAATGCAATTGAATGAAGGATCTGGGAAAACCGAAAAACTTAAAGGGAATTGGGACGAAAAGGAAATATGTTGGAGTGAAATGTTTAAAAATCCATCACTCGGAATCGATGCTGTCACCTCATGGCGTTTCGCAAAAAACAGACTGGCCGACATGATTTTTCTTAACAAAATTGGTGTAACTACAGATAAAAACTGTTTATGGTGCAACGAGGACGGTACAGCATGGCACTTAATAGTAGAGTGTAATTTAACAGATGAACTGTGGAAACAAGTCAAAATACTAGTGTGCAAATTATTAAATAGACAATCAGCAATGCCAAGTGATATGTATAGACTTTTCAAAAACAGAAACAACAATCCAGAAATTAATTTAGCAAACTTTTTGATAGTGTTAGCCATAAGTACTATATACAAACAATATATAGTTTACACAAAAAACAATGTGGTTCCGCGATATTTAAAAAATTATAAAACGCGATTAAAAAACAGAATCCTAACCGAGTACCGATGGCATCTAACAGATGGTGATGTAAACATTTTTGTCTTGAAGTGGTGCGCGGGTGGTGTTTTGTGCAATTTGGGCGAGGACGGAGAGCTCTGTGTAGGGGAGGACATAGACTGATTTATATAGGATAATCAAATATGCAACAAATTTGGGTTTTTATGTATGTAGGCAAAGGTATCTGCAAGTAGTTGGAAAATGTATAGTTTTTAATAAATAATAATAATAATAATAAACACACGTATTCCAGTGGCGTATCAAACTTGCGTTTTTTTTTAAAAATGGAACACCTCATACTTAATTACTGATTAACGATTTCGCTGTTATAACTTAATCTGAAATCTATCGATCAACAACATACTTTTAACAATTTTGCATATTTTTGTTATCCCGGCCGCGCGGTTACACAGTTCATTTCTTAGAGAATTTGTTACTATGAGGTTCATTGAGGTATACTTACCACCTAAAATAAACATGTCGTCCTCTTGGGCGAGCTTCCTGAAAATCAATAGCGTCCTACTTGTCCAAAGTACTTGTACCTACATCAAATTTCAACACGATCGGTCACTTTCAAAAAGAGTTATAGCGCACGCGGAAGGACGGACAACAATACAAAAATATTGTAACGTGATTTATAAATTCGGGTTCGATTTATATCAATATTTATTAAACAAAACTAAAACACTATAAAAACCGTACAATTTATATCGATTATTTATATCACACACTTCGCAATTTATATTTCCGCGCTCGATCTCGTTCGGTAGTAAAAACTGCCGCGATGTTCGGTCCGCAACCATTTATACACGCAAGCAATGTAAGTCCAGGAACATTCGCGTACAGTCTCGAATATTCCTACACAAATCCACTATCGCGCGCGTAGAAAATTCCAGAGCGCCAAAGGTGACGTCATGTCTGGAGCGTTTCCGTTACAATATGAATTTTCTACAACTAAATTCCGAACGATCTTCGAGATCTTCACACACCCATCATTTTGCAATACCTTAATAAGTGGTCGATTCTGTCCCGCCAGATCGGCATAGTTTGTTTTACTTTTGTTCGAGGTGCCTACCTCATGTCCCAATTTTCATCTGCATAGTTGCTTGAAGTTTAAGGAATATTTAAGTACAGAAAACCGGACATTCATTTCATATCATATGTTCTGTAACAGAAGTTATAAAAGAAACCCTTTTCTTGGAGGTGTGGGCAGTTTTTGGACTGTAACTTTTTGGCTCGTCACAATAGCGACTTTTTATGTTTACCAACGAACCACACTAATCGTATATGAAAAAGAATTATTATACTACTGTATGCGTATGTCCAAATCTGCGTCTCTATTCAACTTTGAATTAAAACCGAAAAATAAAAAAAAATTACGAAAAGACTAAAAGAGTGATCGTATTTTGAGCACATTTCAATGACCAAGAAATTTACAAAAGCAAATTGTATCGCTTATGCCTTGAAAATCCACCAAACATCCAACAGCCCCCTAATTTCAATAAATACCCAGTCAGGTACGGAAATTTAATTTGGTACCACAACCATTACTGGTTTTAATTGTGGTTTTTAGATATCTATAGCTATACCATTAAGGGGAAAATGAGAATGATACACGTTATATAATTTATATTTTATTCAGTACAATATGCAGACACAATTCAATTTAACAATATAGTGTCATATACCTCAATAACATAACTTTGCAGTGAAAGAAGTCTGTTACTGTGAATTTCTTAGTCAGAAACATCACACATATATTGAAATTACTATCTAATTAAATAAAATATGTCTTGTTTTTACGGCAGATCTATAACATTATGCCTACAGTTAACACATACAGAGTTTCCATATCACATAATCGTTCACATGAACAGCACCAATTTTCATTACTGTGAAAAATTACTGAGCAATCTTATAACCAAAGCTTTCCTTTCATCTCATATAAAATCATGATAAACTGCAGTATTAAGATAATCATTAATCATTATAAAAATTAGATAATGAAGAATTTTGGTTAAGAAAATCAAATTATTGTCATTATACAAAACTACAAAACCTAGTCAGTTCTGTACAATATGGGTACAGAATACCTATACTATGTTCTCACAGCAACATTTTTCGGATGTAGTACAGTAACACAATTTTATCACAACCTCATATTGTTTAACTTAAGGAACTAAATTTTCTCATTACATATCTACAACGATTTACAATATAACTTTCTATTTTGAAAACAAGTAAAATACATGTCTCATCGAAACCTTTCTCCTCTACTTTATTGCAGATCAATTATCACATTTTTTAAATTTAAATCAGACAATACAATAGGTACGTACATATCTTACTAATGTAGAAATTTTAAAAGTAAAAATACTAGTAATTTGCTAGGAGATTACAATAACTTTATAGGCTGTACTGATAACAGTTAGGACATTAATAAAACAGCTAACACCAATTTGAGTTAAAATATTCAGATTTAAGTCTATGTCCCTCCTATTCTTTAAAAATTTAATTCATAGGTTAGTATATACGCATTACATAGGTATTACCTTAAATATTTAGATCGCCAGAATATCTTATTATTTACAAAAAATTACAGCAGAAAACAGAAATAAGTTTGATTTCCTATTTGATTTATGGTTGAATGCTGGATATTTAAAGTAATTTTTTGGGAAAGGACTACAGGTGCACTTTGGGAGAGCTATTTGGTGGAAAAATATATAGGAATATAACCTGTGCGGAAACTCCTATTTCAGTTTCTGTCTGTAATAAAAACACTTAGGAAGGACTACTTTTTTGTTTAAATGCATTTTTGTATTTCAATTCAAAATTAAAAATAAAATATTCAGATTAATAGACTATGTTGGTTATGGTTAAACATTTTAGTACGACGACTTTTATAGGAGTATGCAATAATCTAATTACATATAACCTTTTAGGGGTACTAAACTGAAATCACCCAACAAATGTAATACCTAAAGACAGCGTGAGATTTTTGCAAAGAATGTTTTTTTTTTGGAATTTAGGATGTTAAATAAAAATAAGAAAAATAGAGAAAATATTCGACCGTCGTTCTTTTTGTCTTTCATATTCGAGATATTAAACGGAAGTATATTCTGCAAGCATTACGAGTGTAAGATATTGGGAATTGCAATTGAAGTAAAAAAAAACGCAAAGGATATATTTTATATGGTAGCTCTCTACTCCACACTTTTCATAATTACAATAACTAAATACGAAGTGTAATATTACACCGTTAGTCCAAAATCATGAATTTTTTATTTAATTTTTCGGTTTCAATAGGAACATGCAGTTTATCCCCCTAATATTTACTTATATGGAGGCAAAAATATCTTTTTAATGCCTGGCACATATATGCGGAAGGACTCTTTGTAACGTTTAGGACAAACTTAGTTTGAATGAAAGGCACATTTATAAAATTTCGCTGAACAAAAATATAATTAAAGCAATCATTAATATGTATGATGCGAATACAGGGTTTCGATTTCACTTGAAAGCATAAATGAGATGCAAATGATTGTAGTTACACCAACCGGTGTCTACAGTTTTCTTTTCCTCAGAGAAGAAATCTACTGACAGCTCTTCAAACATAAAAAATAGCTTACTGAGCATTTTTACGTACTGAGAGTCTTACTAACAAAACCGGGAAACAATCACAAATAATCATGATCATAAAAAAAGGAAAACTTGCTTTCGATGTGTACCATTCAAAAATAAACTTAGCTTCAATGCTTAAAGCGATCCCGATGCCCTGTTTGAATTTACATCTTACATACTTTGAGTATTACACTCAAATTTGCCCTAAAGTTAATGATAACTACATACTATACGTTTCATTAAAAATTTTTTAACAACAAAGGGAATAAAAATAGTAAATGTTTAACATCTTTTTGAAAAATTCGTTACAGAAGTGGCGCTTGTAGGTACCTTTGATTGTGTTGAGCTTGCTGTAAACAGCGGACAGTATATTATGAGTATGGCATTAGATGCTCAGAATATTTTGTACATGTATAAAAAATAAATATCTGAATACATTGAGGCAGGGATCGATGTTAAACATTTAAGATCATGCAACAACATCAAACATCAAATTTGAGTATGTGTATAGTTAACAATTTACACACAAGTTATCATAAAATATGAGGTACATCCATTTGGCACAATATACTAGAAAGTATTAAAATTTATCATAATATTCGATGTAAAAAATGACACCACTTCATTCTTTATAATTCGTCAGCGTTCAATTAACGTCATATATCTTACTCATTTTTTCCTATTTGATGCCTAACAATTGACTACAATCTGACTAGCAAAAAAACTTACAACATTGATCGAGTTTGGTAACTTCTAAAAAATTGTATGTCCAAAAATCACGTGCGAAAACATTGGTGCTTACCTGTGTCAGCGGGGGGTATGAATGTGAGTGGTAAGATGTTTCGAAAGATAATCAGCTCGAGCGAAGCATTTACCGCACATGTCGCAGTGGTACGGACGTTCTCCTGTATGTATACGTAAATGGCGTGTAAGATCACTTTTTCCACCAAACGCTCTACCGCAGAATAAACAGACAAATGGCCTCTCTCCAGTGTGCTTTCGCACGTGTAATTTTAAATTTTCTTTGGATCTTACGCACTTTCCACAGAAAGGGCAAGCGAATCTTCGTTCCCTTTGATGATCTGCGGCGTCTGAACGAAGAAGGCTTAACAGAGACGCGTCTTGAGTATTATTAACTGCATCTACTGCACTACCGCTCGGGACGGCTAATGAAGAAACAACTGAATCGATAGTATCATCTTGTTCAACCTCTGTTTTTTCCAAGTCCGAAGACATACCCTCGCCAACATCATCACTTGTGTTTTCTTTTTTAATGGAGATAGTCTCGACATCATTGCCACTAATGCCTTCATTAGAACTTGAGACATGATCACTACTGTTTTCCATCTGCGAATCTGTTACGGCGTCACTTTTATTTTCGTTAACAGTAATTTCCGAGTTCTTACCGTGAAGTCGCTCAAGCGCGTGGTTTAAACGATGCTTCTTGAAAGACTTCAGGTATCTAAATTGCATTCCGCAAACATCACAAGAGAATAATTTATCAGCCGGCAATCTGGCTCTGTGGTTCTGTTCGCGATGTTTTATATATGCAGAGCGATACCGATAACTTTGACCACATTGATCGCAAATGAACGGTTTGTCAACAGCTCCAAGGACCCCCAAATGCTGTAGGGCTGTATGCTGCTCTAGTAGCCATACAGAGGGAAATGCAGCCATACATATTGTACACCTAAATATCTCTTCGCCCAGAAGTGCAGGATGGACTAAGCCAACTTCAAGTAGGGAAGTGGCCATAGAAGGTATAGGAAAAGCGAATGGAGTAGATGATCTACTACTATGTGTACTCGACGGCCTTTCCATACATGGAGACGCCAAACAACGTTCCACCTCGACTGCACTCTGAAACAGAATGAATTCTGCGTTAAAAATTACTTTATTTTTACATGTTCGATGTGAACATTACTAACAGTTGAGGTTCCCTGCATGCTTTTCGGTAAGTGCCACATACGAGTATATTACCCTAGTCTTTCAAAGTCTGCGTTATTCGTCGAATTGTTGTCATATAGGTGTGATCTAGTTACTGTCAGATACATTTTTTTAATGTTAATAATCCAATAGAGAGCGTTTAAAAAAGTGGTAGATTACCTCGGTGTGACCCTACGGAGTCATTGGATTTGACCCATTTTCAATTGGCTTGTTACATGTGGTATATATGTTAACTGTGCAAAATTTCAACCGAATAGGTTCAAGCGTTTGGCAGGGACAGAGAAGCGTGACCCCACGGGGTCTTTGTTTTTGACCCATTTTCAATAAGCTTATTACATGTGACATATAGGTCAACTGTGCAAAGTTTGAACTAAATAGGTTCAAGGTCTGGTTCAAGCGTTTGGCAGAAACAGAGAGGCGTGACCCCAATGGGTCATTGGATTTGACCCATTTTCAATAGGCTTATTATTTGTGGCATGGTCAACTGTGGAAAGTTTGAACCAAATCGGTCCAAGCGTTTGACAGTTATCGTGTTCACGGACAGGCGGACACCATCGACTCCCCTATGAAGCTTGCATCGCTTATTGGTCTGCCGTTTAATAAAAGTATATAGTCTTGTGCAGATTAATTTGTATTTAATACGTGTTTTCTGTTTTCGCGTTCGTCCAATAGGTTATGGGCCATCCAGCATCGTCAAGGTCTCGGGTGTTATAAAATCGCGACCCTAAACGGTAAAGTAAAATTTGATAAAGTGTGGAGAGTAAAAAGTACGAATACACGTTGTAGTGCATCAAGCGCACACGCGACCACGATCACCATGCCCAAGCTAAGGGGCTGCGAGAACTACGCGTAGTGGGCGTTCACTGCTCGTTTCCACTTGGTATCAGAAGAGCTGCAGGATTGCATAGACTTCTAGAAGACAAATACCAAAAAACCAAGAAAGGAAGAGTTGCAGCTAGACATGAAATCCATGGTGAAACATGCTCTCTTGATTGATGCGGCGCTCTACGTCCGTATCAAAGAGACAAAAACAGCACGGGATTTATGGCAGAAATTCGCAAGTCTGTACAACGACTCGGGCTTTACTCAGAAGTTTAATTTGTACAAGATTAGTCGACTGCGACACCATGGCGTACTATGTCACCCAAATTGTCGAGTTGGGTAACGTCTGCGTGCTACGCCGGGTTTTAAAATGTTTGAACGCAAGCTGCTGTCTCATAGTACTGTCAAAGTGCCAAGTAACAATCTCACTCACGCTCGAAAATTAAGAATCGATTCCCCGGAGGTCTCGTATACGTTAATTCGACCAGCAAGTTTTACTGTCGCACGTTGCTTCCATGATAATTGTCGCAAGTTGACTTACGGCGGTTTTTATAGCTAGACAATGCATTTACTGACGTCAGACAACAACTTGTGTGGGAAAACTTGCCTATTGGCACCTTAATGATGCAAGCGAATGAGACAAAAAGGCGCAGAAAAAGATTCTGGTTGCATACCCGGAGACGACGAAAGGCTACCGGGTGTATGATGAGCAGTCAAAGATTATATTAGCACTAGCAGATACGTCATCATAAGAAGAACAACCAAACCATCAATACAATCGTAGCTCCGCTCCGCAGCGTAACTACCGAGCTCCAGCTGATCCGCTGCCTGATGCAGTTCCTGATGTGATGCGGCTGATGACCAAGAAGTGTATAGTTTCGGGACCGATATGACAAGAAATCCGAATTCCAACTTGCTAGGGACAAATTTTCCAAACGTTTTGGATTGTTTTCGTCAAGATTTTCAATTTTTATCGCCAAATTATTCAAATCCAAATAAAGCGATAAAATATCCAACCACTATTTTTTAGACAAAAAATCCAAATTTTTTCATTAACATATCCAAAAAGTTCGAAAAGTTTTTAACGAAATATATCCTATTCTTTTTAGACAACAAATTTTAGATTTAGGTGATAGTACTGGTGGGATTTCTTACATTTTTTGGTTGTTTCGTGGGCGAGTGGTTGTGAAATAAGGCCCTGACTTAGTAAATGAGTTTGAAAGCTTACGGCACCGTTGAGTCGGTGTGTGACATGATTAGTTCAGATTATATAAGATTTTTTTATTTTAAAGTGGTCGTTATCGAAGCTAACGTCGGCTCTGCAAGATCAGAATAATTTTTTTCACTCAAATTTTGTTGCCTCCTGGAAAAAAACTCTCGATAAAAAGCATAAAATAAAATCGCTCGCGATTGTATCACACTTCTGATAAGTTTTTTCCGTTGCAACAAAACTTTTGTGTAAAAATAAAATTATCCGATTAAAAATCAAGCTCTTGTGTATTTTACCCCCGATAAACGAATAAAATATTACAGTATACGCACGGTAACGGATTTTACTGGCTTTAGGAGATGACAGGGTCGCCAGTCAACTTCTATCGCCAGTAAAAACCTTCTTACCATGCTAATAATGTAAAATACTATAAATACCTTGGGTTATAAGTAGCATGCTAAAATTTAAGTTACTTTCAAGTAACTAAGTTACCTGCAGTAACTAAGTTACTTTTGAAATGATACTAAAAGTAACTTGTAACTTAGTTACTTTCTAAAATTAACTTATAACTTTTCCATATTCAGAGGAACTTAGTTACTTATAAAGTAACTAAGTTACTTTCTGGTAACTAAGTTACCTAAAAAGAACTTAGTTACCTACCGAAAAGTTACTTTTTATCTATTATAAAATTATTCCTCAAAATACCTTGCAGATCTCACATGCGTTTAAATAATGTCAATAAGAAAAAAATAGTCCTACTTGTAATTTAATATTGAGGAGATAGGCTCGTAACCTGAGTTTTAAATGATAAAAGGAAGTAGCGTAAAGTAAAGTGCAATTTTTTATCTCTGATATTTGATATATTATCATTGAGTAATTATTCACTCAACGATATTATGTAATGTAGGAGTATGAGTAAGATGTCGATGCACCCTACCATCGCCGTTGTAATTATATACTCAAAATTTCTTATCTGTACAGTTTTCGAATTCGCGACTCGGTAACAGCACCACGCCCGGCGACGCATCGGCAGATATTTGTATATGTGATCTGATGCTTATTATGTTATTAAAAAAATGCAACTCGCCATTTGCCTTGTTAGTTGTAAACGTGAGACTGTTGTGCTTGTGAACGAAATAATATGAAAATAAAACTTTTGGTTATTCAGTATTCAGCTGTTTCTTATTATTTGTTGAAATTCGAAGCAAGGAACTGGAAAGTATCTTTTTAAAAGAACTTTTTTAAAAGTAACTTAGTTACTATAACTGTAACTAAGTTACTTTTGTTTCTACGTATCTAGTTACTCAAGTAACTTAAGTTACTGTTTGGAAAGTAACTTAGTTACTTTATCAAAGTAACTTTCGTTTCACCTTTGTGTAAGTACCTACCGCGCTTTGAGAGGAGGTACCATGAAGTGAAGAATAAACAATTCCTTCCCCCCCCCCCCAATCCTGCCTCCCTATTTTGATAAGTGGTAAGGGAGAAGGGAGGTATGTTGGTAGAAAAAAGTTCCATTCGTCGAGACCTTCAATTTAGAATAACCTACCTTGAAAGATAAAAGCAATTCTGCCTTCCGTTCCCCTGCCGCCCTGGTCTAAAAAAGGGATCGCGGAGATGTTTGTAGAAACCAATTCCGTTCGATGAGATAGACTTCAGCAAATTTCGACTCGGTTTAGCTCGCACAATTTTAATAAGTTGGAGACTAAGCGGGGTATCTCGTTCACTCGAGGGGTAAAAAGTTTCTTAGAGCTCGAATCGCGGTCTCTCTTTTTCGTGTCGCCAATAGAAGCTCGAGCTATGAGAAGTAAACAAAAATTGAGTATCTACTATTTTGTGCCGGGTTTTTAGCAAAATCCACCAAAATGCGAGTGAACGGTACGTCGCAACTGTCTACCGACAAAGAGAATGTGGTAGCCCCCGACAAGATCTTACTGATGGTGGAGTGCGAATTGCGGGTGCACGGGAAGTGGGAAGCGGATACCGACATAGTGAATGTTATAATCTTGACAAGATCTTATTGATGGTGGAGTCTATACTGGCTAATAAAACACTGATCTGTCTGGTCACATAAAATGTCCTGAAGTCCCTTCGATCTCACACGAGGATATTGATAATTTTTTTAATATTATTATTAAGTAAAATAGTACATTATATACCAAGGTAGAGAAGTCCACTATTATTGCCTGAGCACCAAGATTACATCTCGAGGCGCTTGCGCCGAGGGGGGTAAGGTGCGAAGGCAATAATAGACTTCTCTACCGTGGTATATATACTATTTTTTTCACTACTAGCACTTGAAATCCTCTAAATTAACATATTATATTGATAAGAGAGTTAACGGTTGGACAGAATTTTTTGTTTCTTAATTTAACATGTCAATCAAGTACGTGGAAGTACAAGTCAAACAGGCCGTATTTTGTTCTGTCATTGAGATTTTTCAAAGAGAAATTTCGTTCGAATTTTTTCAAAATGTGATAATTTTAGGTATGTAATTTCTCTGGAAATTGCGAATGGTGGCAATTATTCGTTTTAGAGAACTTGTCTAAACGTTCATTGAGCGAAATTTCGGGTTGTGTTTTCTAACAGTGACAGCGTGACAGTTCTCATTATTGACTACTAGTTAATAATAAAAAATTATTAACCACTTGGAACAAATGCCGAGAAAGCCTACTTTACAAGTGGAAAAAAGGTTAATAATCATGTCATCAGACGCTAGTAGTGAAAAAAAATAATTATTAGTACGAACATGCATTGGTACATACATGGTTTTGGTTTTGTAACTATACAGTTGCCTTTATCTGTTGACTGTGTTTGCGCAAGTTGAATACTTTTCCTGAAAAAATATTTTGTAGATAGGAAGTCAAAATATAGGTAACCACAA